GATAAAAAGCTTTAGATAAATCAAACATTGCCGCCACATATCTGACTCAATAACCATTAAAACAACTATTTTCATTCATTTCACATGGAACTATTAACAGACTTGTATTATATTAAACTGAACTTCCAATTTTCACCATTGTCGCATTACGAGGAGTCTTGGAATCCAATCAGACCTCGGCGCCACACTATGACGTAATCATCCTTCGAATCTGGCCTTCTAAGGATGCATCCCAGGATTTCGAACAGAGCAATTGTGTCTTATTTCAAGACAAGTACAGACAGTTTTTAAAGGAGAATTCCGGTTTTTAACACTTTTAGCCCATTTTCTGTAGTGTCCAGGATGAAATCGAATGATCGACACCAAAATTTTGACAATTGGTCCTGTCTCTGCTTTTTGGCTCATTTAGAATCCACCCCTGGCTGCTTCAGAATGGCTTCCATAGTGCATGCCCGATAATGTCCTTAAAACAACCTTAAACGTTCTTTTTTTAAAATATGCTACTCACCAGGTCGTCAGCGCTGTTCAGTGATGTTCCAAAAAAAGTTTCGTAAAGAAAAAACGTTCCTGTAGTGTTTTATTTAGCATTTTGTAAATCCCATTGAGTTCTGTTGGAATAGTCAATATTCCCCTGCCACCGGAAACGGAAATGGGGCCTGTTTACACAGTTGTAGTCTTTTCGCTTCACTCTGTGTAATTCGACGTCGAGGTGCTAACGTCTCTGTTAAACACTTTAAAAACTCTGAAAATGGAATACGAAAGGTGGATTCTTGATTCTCGACGTCGGAGTACACAGAGTGAAGCGAAAAGACTACAACTGTGTACAGGTGCTGGTCATAAAATTAGAATATCATGAAAAAGTAGATTGATTTCAGTAATTCCATTTAAAAAGTGAAACTTGTATATTATATTCATACATTACATACAAACTCATATATTTCAGATGTTTATTTTGTTTAATTTTGATGATTACAAATGACAACAAATGAAAATCTCAAATTCATCATATCAGAAAATTAGAATATTGTGAAAAGGTTCAAAATTGATGGCCCCTGGTGCCACACTCTAATCAGCTAATTAACTCAAACCACCTGCAAAAGCCTTTAAATGGTCTTTCAGTCTAGTTCTATAGGCTACACAATCATGGGGAAGACTGCTGACTTGACAGTTGTCCAAAAGACGACCATCGACACCTTGCACAAGGAGGGCAAGACACAAAAGGTCATCGCTAAAGAGGCTGGCTGTTCACAGAGCTCAGTGTCCAAGCACATTAATAGAGAGGCGAAGGGAAGGAAAAGATGTGGTCGAAAAAAGTGTACAAGCAAGAGAGATAACCGCACCCTGGAGAGGATTGTGAAACAAAACCCATTCAAAAATGTGGGGGAGATTCACAAAGAGTGGACTGCAGCTGGAGTGAGTGCTTCAAGAACCACCACACACAGACGTATGAAAGACATGGGTTTCTGCTGTCGCATTCCTTGTGTCAAGCCACTCTTGAACCACAGACAGCGTCAGAAGCGTCTTGCCTGGGCTAAAGAGAAACAGGACTGGACTGCTGGTGAGTGGTCCAAAGTCATGTTCTCTGATGAAAGTAAATTTTGCATTTCCTTTGGAAATCAAGGTCCCAGAGTCTGGAGGAAAAGAAGAGAGGCACTTCATCCACGTTGCTTGAAGTCCAGTGTAAAGTTTCCACAGTCAGTGATGGTTTGGGGTGCCATGTCATCTGCTGGTGTTGGTCCATTGTGTTTTCTGAGGTCCAGGGTCAACGCAGCCACATACCAGGAAGTTTTAGAGCACTTCATGCTTCCTGCAGCTGACCAACTTTTTGGAGATGCAGATTTCATTTTCCAACAGGACTTGGCACCTGCACACAGTGCCAAAGCTACCAGTACCTGGTTGAAGGACCATGGTATCCCTGTTCTTAATTGGCCAGCAAACTCTCCTGACCTTAACCCCATAGAAAATCTATGGGGTATTGTGAAGAAGAAGATGCAATACACCAGACCCAACAATTCAGAAGAGCTAAAAGCCACTATTAGAGCAACCTGGGCTATCATAACACCTGAGCAGTGCCACAGACTGATCGACTCCATGCCACGCCGCATTGCTGCAGTAATACAGGCCAAAGGAGGCCCAACTAAATACTGAGTGCTGTACATGCTCATACTTTTCATGTTCATACTTTTCAGTTGGCCAACATTTCTATAAATCCTTTGTTTTTATTGGTCTTCAGTAATATTCTAATTTTCTGATATGATGAATTTGAGATTTTCATTTGTTGTCATTTGTAATCATCAAAATTAAACAAAATAAACATCTGAAATATATGAGTTTGTATGTAATGTATGAATATAATATACAAGTTTCACTTTTTAAATGGAATTACTGAAATCAATCTACTTTTTCATGATACTCTAATTTTATGACCAGCACCTGTAAACAGGCCCCATTTCCGTTTCCGGTGGCAGCGGAATATTGACTATTCCAACAGAACTCAATGGGATTTACAAAATGCTAAATAAAACACTACAGGAACGTTTTTTCTTTACGAAACTTTTTTTGGAACGTCATTGAACAGCGCTGACGACCCGGTGAGTAGCATATTTAAAAAAAAGAACGTTTAAGGTTGTTTTAAGGACATTATCGGACATGCACTATGGAAGCCGTTCTGAAGCAGCCAGGGGTGGATTCTAAATGAGCCAAAAAGCAGAGACAGGACCAATTGTCAAAATTTTGGTGTCGATCATTCGATTTCATCCTGGACACTACAGAAAATGGGCTAAAAGTGTTAAAAACCGGAATTCTCCTTTAATGTATGAATATTTTTTTTATCACAAACAGTGTTTAAAATACTAGATGGAAGCGGAGGTGGTTTCTTTTAGATTTGATATCCAGAAAGTGACAACAGAAGCAAAAATAACAAAATACAGAAAACCAAAATACTAAGAGACATCAGGTAAAGCACAGACGAGGAGCGAACGACGAGGAACTAACAGAGTAACTGAATAGGAGTTGTTTATATGGGGGACAGAAACAATGGGACAACTAATTAGCAGATGACGAACAGGTGTGGACAGAAGAATCTAGAAGGGAGCTAGGAGAATGAGACTGACACAAGAGGGTGACAGAGGGTAAACAAGAAATACATAAGAACTCAAATTCAACCAAAAACAGCTAGAATAACAAAAAATGGAGATAAAACCAATGAAAACCCAAAAAGAAAACTTAAACAGAACCAAAACCATGACAGCTTGCTGCCACCCACAAAATATACACCTGTATAAACACATAGGTAAAAGTCAAACATTAACTAACGCAGCATTAATAGGATAAATCAATGTTTTTTTTTTGTTTTTTTTATCTGCAGAAGATGTGAACCAAAATTCTGTTTAAAATGAATAGGAGGAAAATATATATTTTTAAGTATAAAATATACCTATTTACAAAATCAGGGAATTTGTGAAAGAAATGTCACTGAAAAAGAGAGGTATTCACCGAAAGAAGTACAAGCGCATTTTATCAGCGTGAAGAAGAATAGTTGTTTACTTAATGCTGTAGTTTGAAGATTTGAAGCTAACCTCACACATACTACATCCCACGTCAGCTCCCTCATCCCCTGATACAAGTTGCTTACTTTTTTAGCCCTGCAACCCTTTCTATGTAGCAACAATGTTGACTCTCCTCCTCTTTTTTACAGCCACATTAAAGGTGGCATTTTTAATCATTCTCAAAGAACCTCAACACCCATCATATCAAAAACAACAACTAAATGGAAAAATTGCAATTAAAATACCACAACCCCATCATCATAATATACATTAATGAAATCCAATTGGAACCAAATTTGAATTAAAATGTAATATAGTCTCACACACATCATCCCAACAGGATCCTGGGGATTCTCATGAAAGAGAAACTCAGATCAGTCAAACTGCCAGAGGAAATGTTAAACGTCTTTAATGATTGATTTGCGTACTAAACTTAACTGCCTGTGTGTCTTTTGTTAGCATTGTTTTTCTCCAAATAGCAGGCAAACCTTAAGCCTCCGAACTCAATGGTTATGTTCAATATAAAGCATGAACATTGGTTTCCAGTGTCCAAAATTATTATCATGGTTTATGGCACAAGAGGGCTATATTGAATTATTTTTCCTGAAATATAGTTAAGAAACACCCAAGTCACTTTTTGAATAACTGCACACCCACAAGACCATCCTAACTGCTCTTCCACTACTCAGAAGGATCGCCTATCTAACATGAATGCATGCATGAGTGTGTGTGAGCCCTGTTTCACTTGTGTGTAGCTCTGTTTAAGGTCTTTCTGCATTGTTCAGAATTTTAGTATGTATCGAAAGCAATGGCGCAATAATGAATAGGTGCAACAGAAGAGCACTGCATGCACAAGCACTGAAAGTGCACAACACAATAAAAGGAAACCTGCAAGGAAGGAGCACACAAATTGGTGTTAAGTGAACACATCAAATAGAATATCATGTAGTAAAACTAGCAGATATGATGATTGGCTTGGATAAAAAAAAAAAATAAATTCACTACGCCTTAAATTTTTTCCCTCAAAATAAAAGATTGAAATTATTTATATCTATAATGTGATCATATGTGTGGTTTATCTACATATAGCAATCCCAGAAATCCAACCATGTAGTTTGTGGCAAAAATTATCAATTCATTACTTTCCTGTCACATTCCCACAAAAAATATATATTTTTTTCTGATTTCTGTGACAGATTTTCAGAGAATTCCTTTATGAATACAAGGTCATAATCCATAAATGGAAGGCTTAAAAGACTTCTTTTATTTAGAAAGTGTACATATCTTTTAAAAACTATGAAAAGGCTGAACAATTCATGTGCATTGATTCTTTCAGGATCCTTAGTTTTTTTTGTTCTAAAATGCTAATATTTGGCTTTTAATAATTTCCTAATTAGCAAATTTGTAATTTTGCTGTAATAATGTTTTTCTCGTTTGTTGTTTTGTTAACAGGCTGATGAAATTTCCTACTACAACGCAAAAGACAATGTAAGCAATTTATTTAATTTTTTGTCTTTTTTGTCTTAAGTCCTTGGTAGCAGCTAAGAAATAGTACAAGAATTTTTGTTTTTTTCTTACAGGGTCCTATTTTTTATACAGCTCGTCTTCCCTTCTGTCTCCTATTTTACCCATACTATTCACCACATTCACACATCCCCCCCCCCCCCCCCCCCCCCCCCCTTCTCTATATATTGCAGTTCCCCCCCTTCTCTTTCCCACTTCTTGGGCTCTTCTTCCCATGCAAGCCTCCTTTCAGTCATCTTTCCTCCAACCCTCTCTCAGGTGAAGAGGTTCCTGCCATGCTTCTCCCCTAATTGACAGATGAGATGTATGAGCTGGCTACACTGTTGCTTTATTAGGAAGCAAGTGTTCACACCATCCTTTGCTGACTCCCTCTCTCTCCCAACACCTCACCGCCTTTCTACTATAGATTCCTTCATATCTCATCAGTTTTTGCTTTTGCCCACTTATTGTTCTTTTTCTACAGCTTTCTTTTTATGCAAATCTGGAGGTTGAATACACTGCCTAATACCCCTCCTTTGGAGGGATTATGAAAGAGCTCACAGCATATATTTTATCAGTCAGCAATGCTTCATGTTTCATTCAAATGTGTAAATAAACTTACATCAGACAGAATTGTTTGAGTATGTTTTGCAGGACTTCTGTCTACTTTGCTTTAAGAGAAATGTATAAACAACTTCTACATGCTTATTAAAGAAGCTGGTAAATGTACCAAGAACTGTGATCAAAACTACTATATTCATCTTGATTTTTCTTTTTCCCCTAAGCTGGATGCAAATGAGACAGAGGGAAGAAAATACAGGATTCGACCAGACTTTAAAGAGGACCCTTCATTCAAACGTTTAACTGATCACAACCATACAGCTGTCCATATTCCTACTGACATCTATGATGGCTGTAAGTCCTCAGATGCACACACAAACACACACCCATGTGTTGGGTCATACTAACTTTGTGGGGACTTTCCCTTGACATCCATTCATTTCTTATTAACTTCTATTGCCTAATCCTTTCCCTTACCCTAAATCTAACCATTACCAACACATACCTAATCCTTAACCTGACTTAATCTCAATTCATACATTAGTTCTAAACCAACCCCCCACCCCAGAAAGAGAACCTTTACTCATGGGGACCAGTCGTTGGTCCCTACAAATACCTATAATTCCCAAAATTGTAACATATTTCTGAGAAAATGTCCCCACAACAGACACCACACACAACACAACACTTAAACTCACTCATAAACCCAAGTGGTAACCATGGATACGGCTGACATATCTAACTATTAGAAATAATCTTGTAAACAGATTGTGCTTCCAGCAAACGTACCCTTGGCTAAATAATGTTTTTTAAAATTGTAACAGCATAATGAGTTCTCAAGGTTCCTGTTGGGTTGGATGGTGTTAGTGAAAAGAGGATCTTGTAAGTCTAACGTGTTGTTATTGCAATGTTTTATTTATTGTAAAACACAAAGTATTTATATCCTTTTTCATAAGGAAGACGCTTTTATCATGAATGCAGTTGGGTTCACTGTACACTATATCATCATAATAAATTAAATAAAAAAATATAACATTGTAAGCATGTCTTGTTTGACATAAAATATCAGTGATTTTTGCGTTTTTGTATTTCATGTAGAAGAGTTAAAGTTATTCTTGTAAGTAAAAGGCCTAACATAAAGGACCTAATCTCACATAAGTACAAACAGTTGCTCATAATGATAAATATCTCAACTAACATGTTTAGGAATATCTCTACCTCTAGCCTGCATGACGTGTTGTGTGTGGTTTATGCATGTGGTAAAATGCTATTTGCTTACAGTAAGTTATAAACGATATATGTTTGAAAGTTCTTTGTGCTGGTTTGAAGGAAAGTTGTCCCAGCCTTATGCACATAATGCACACAAGTGGAATTATTATCAGCAGAGATTACTAATCCTGTCTTTATAATTATTATTTTTACTGACACTTTTTATGTTTTTGTACGGTGACCTTGAGTGTCCAGAAAGGCGCCTTTTTAAATAAAATGTATTATTATTTATTATTACCCTAGATTTCAAAAAGTATTTCCCAAAAAAGAAATAAACTGTGTTGTGCCATCAGTAATTGATTGAAAACTTTGTTTCTGCAGCTATTCATAATTTTAATTTTTTTTTATTAATCTAGTGATTATTATTGTCATTTAACCTCGATTGACCAATGTGTGAATCAAAACCACAAAAAACCAAACAATTATTGTACATTTTGAATTGATTCGAAATTGTTTAAAAAAAAAAAAAATAAAATGCTAAGAAATAGAGAATATTTAAAGAGAAAGTTGGTATCCAACATGCAATATGTGTGTGTTTATGTGTCCTTGGTTTTATCAAGAGATCAATTGAGTTTAGGAGAACACATACAGTTATGAGTGGAATGTAATACTGTGGAACAGGAGAATAGAGATAGCATGAAGTTCTCCAGCAGCCTTATGGCGCTTTCACATCGGAGTTGAAGGCTGTGCATATTAGATGCACAGCGGCTTCAACATGTTCACAGCAAAAAGCATAGTAAAATAGGAGGAGCTTGTGCTTGTATTTCAATTTCAATTGGCAGACAGGGATTCTATCAAATAAGTCACATAGCTTGTTTTGCTGTAGAAAGCAGAACAACGGTGTTGGTCTCGAGGTCTGTGGGTCAAACCAATTCTCCAGAAATGGAACCAGTTGGAGATTACCACCACCGACTCCCAAGAACTGCATTTGGATGATGAGTCGATGTTACCTCCTTGTACTGTACCTAGCCAAAAGATAGCACCAGTGCGGAGAAGAGCAGCAACTGCAGAGGTCTGTGCTGAAGCTGGTATGATGAATGATACAACAGTCCTGCTGAGGGTGATCGAAGGAGGACAGCGGTAGATGGGCGACAGTGCATAAAAGTGCGGAGAGCTGGTATTAAATTGCTGGTAGCTGTGTTGGAGATCAGGAATGGAAAACAGTGCTACTAGGGATAAATTAAAACACCTTTTAAAAGCCACATGAAAACCTTTTAAAGGCATTGTTTATTTTTTTACTTTATTATATATCTATTTATACAACTTATATATATATATATATATATATATATATATATATATATATATATATATATATATATATATATATATATATATATATATATATATATATATCTTATATATCTTATTTATTATCTTATTAAATGGATCCAGTCGTTTTAAGTTTCTGACCAATCAGCTCCTTTTCTTTAAAGACTGATCCGAAGTCAATAACCTTTGTTTTGTCTGCATTAGTCTTCTCTCTCTTCAAAATGTAAAAAATTGTTGAAATTGTGCTTTGAATTAGCCTTTGCATGCTGAGAGAAAAATGAAAATAATGCAAAACCCCGTACAGCAGTGACATTGCCCATATTGACACAGGCAGACTGTTTGGTTAGGTCGCCTTTTAAAGGTCAGTGCTGTCAGTGTGTTTTTAACAGTAATGATCCTTGGCACAGACTCAGTTTTAATGTTTAGAAATAAATTAAGAAAGTTGCAGTTGTTTTGACTTGTTTGAAATCTGATGTCAGAAACAGCAAGAAGCTTTTCCTGAGTCTTTTTAATCTTAACAACTGATTCATGAATATAGATGGATAATTATGACTTACAGAATGATTGAAGATGATGAGCACCACTTTATTGTGTTTGATTAGTGGTGTGCAACACAGTCAAGTGAAAAAAAAAAACAAAGGTCTATTGCTTCACAATGCTGTTAGATTATTAAACAGCTCAGAATAACATCAGTTGAAGTTGAATGCATTTTGTGGAGTAATAGAATAGGGAATACTTTTGTTTTTCCACAATGGGGAAATTCTGGTGTTACAGCAGCAAAAAGATTATAGAAAAAGTGATCACACAAAAATAACATAATAGTGAAGAGATAAAAAAAACAAAAAAAATACTGTACTTTAAAGTGTTTTTACACTATGCTGAAAATACTGTGCACCTGGAGAATAAATAACCAATATACAGCTTTTGACATTTTTACAGTAATGGATATTTGAAAATAACAGCAACATCAGAGGTGTGCAAAATGACAGCAGCATGTTATTTAACTGATTAAGACAGACACCGTACAAAAATCATCAGGAATGTAACAACTCTTTGATGTTGTTGGGAACAGTGGTGGTTATAAAGTCCTACAGCTGGGGATGCAGCAGTCTGTCACTGAAGGCACTCTCCAGTTCAGCAACAGCTTCATGCATGGGGTGGAAGACATTATCCAACAGAAATGTTAATTTAGTTAGGATCATTTTGGGTCCCACCTCCTGCACTGAGTCCAGAGGGCATCCAATCCCTGTCGTAGGTCTTTAAAAGTGCCCCCTGCACTTCAAAAGACCTCAGTCTCCTCAGCAGTCCAGTTTGTTATTCAGGTAAACACCTAGGTACTTATAAGAGTCCACTATCCTATTGTTGCTTCCTTGGATATGCACCAGTTTCAGTGAGGTGGATCTGTTTTTGCGAAAGCTTCTGCGAAATGTTGTAGATGAATAATAATACTAAATCATAATATTTCTTGCCTCAAGCAAGATAATATACTATCATACATTCTGAAATGAAAGTGTCACCATGCTAGCACATTTTCAATGAATGTTTTCTGCTCCTCTCTATTTAAGTGTTTTTATACCTGAATTTTAATACAGAATTTTTCTCAACTATTACCATTTTATACAAACTATAGACATTGACAGTAATAGCATGTAGAATATACAATCTGCATTGTTTTACAACAAGCATTGTGTATTGAATTGGAATGCATCAATTCACTGAATTCCCTATGTTCTTTTTCGGTTACAGTGCTTTTGTTTGTGTGAAATGGCACTGAAGATTAATTGAATATAAAATGTTTTAATATAAAAGATTAGTCTGTGATGAATTAACTAACCCCTTGAACCCTACGGACCCACTGGCGGGTCCAGCTGCTACGTGACCTCGTAATTTTACCAAACCCCCAGTATTGATGTAAAAAACATATTTGGCACAGTTTGGTGACATTTATGGATAAATGTGCCAAAATGGCCTCTCCGCCTAAGAAATTTCTCACTAATACCATTCTAAAATAAATATGATTCATCTGATTGAGTCCAAATTTGGTATATTTTTATACAACATTTAGATTTGAAAGTCTGTACTACTTTTTTGTGCTATAAATAATATTTTGGTAGTGTTTTGCAATGTTTATTTCAAAGAAAATTTTGGCGAGGTTCAAAAAATGCAAAATATTTTGTATTTTGTGACTAATATTTCAGGCAGGGTCAAAGCTACAATGGTGCTGACACCAGAAAACCATTCTATGACATCTTACCTTTACAGACGTACCAAAAGTTTCTTCTTAAATCTAATAGCTTTGAGGCTATAAGTTATTTACTTTTGTGTGTTTTTGTCAGGCAGAAATTTATTTATACCCCCTTAGGGTGTAAGAGGCTAAGCTATATAATGTGATTTGTTTTGTTTTTTCTAATTGAGTGACCGCAATACTTTAGAGACTTAGATAACCTTTATTGTCATTTTGTATACACACAGTGTATACAAAATGAAATTTAGACAGTAAATGAGAAGAAGCTTAGCAGTGAAATGAACATTTCCATTTCAAAAAGTGCAGCAGTGAACGAATGCAAAAGAAAAACATGGTGCAAAACGCATTGATGTGGAAGCTGAGAACACTGCAAAGACAAATATATATGGTGCAAAAAACTGGACTGTAAATTGACTTTTTGATAATATTCTAATTTATGTAAACTCAAGATTTTTTTTCTAAAGAATACAATGAACAAAAAAAACAGTTTAATATTTTTCTTGTATTACTGTAGATTGTTATTATTTTTAAGTTAGAATGTTATTATCATCATATCATATGATGGACAATTTTAAGCTTAGCCAAATTCCACAGATGCACTATTTGAAAATATGTTTCTGGAGTGGGATATGTTTAAGTGTGGGAGTTAAAAAATAAATTCAGTTTTACATTTATACTTAACACTTTATGTATCTTGGAAAATATCCTTTTTTCTATTCTAAAGATTCTTCAAATGGCAAAATAATCAATAAAACAGTGCAAAGCTCTCTTACAAATTATCCATTTTGTTGCCACAAAAATAAAAGATATATCATAAAGAAATGAATAAATGAATAATTCATAATTTCATATAAAAATTGATAAACATTGACTAAAAAAATCCACTGGCAATATTGTGAATTTACTCCAAATTATGAGAAATACTTTATCAATTTGAAACTCATCATAAAAGAAAAAAATATCTTAAATAACTCTTTAGATTGGTGTTTTTCTAAGTTGGGTGTATATGATTCGGGAAAATTATGTCAAGTCATCCATTCATGTCCGATATGGCTAAAAGCTAGCTGCTGTGCTGACTGAGATTTTAAGAAATCCTTTGGATCTAAGAATTTTGAGCAGTAAACACAAAATAATTATAAACATTAGTGACTTGAGTAATTTGGGTAAGTGGTGGACTCTGAAATTCTCTTTTCCAGAAGGTAAAGATGTACTTAAAATCATACCCACATATTTACAGTACATACTTTAGTAGCCAAAAAAGAGACGACAAAGCAAAAAAAAGCATATTTTGGTGTTAACTGTTACAAAGACCTTGTAGGCTGCATGTAATAAAACTCCATTTCTGATCCTTTCATTATAATTTTTTGACATTTACCTTAAGAAGTCACAAATAATATGATTCCCTAGAGTCTTTCTGACATTACAACTTCGCAATCTGAATGTCAATAACTGGAAGGTGGAATGTTGAATATTTTCGCTAAGTAGAGTGGCTTCTGTACTGTCATGTGTTGTGGCTTGTCTTTTCCTCTACCACTCTTTCTTGAATTACGTTGGAGGGATTCTTTTAATGTGAGGCTTCAGTGATGGTCTTAAGCAATGACAACCACAACTCAAACTCGCAATGAGTTTCAGTGACATGAATTTGGATATTGGCATGTATACTGTTTTGCCTGTTAACTCAAGTTTCTGCACTTTTTCTGTGTTTGTACAAGAAAGGATTTTTGTGTTTGTATTTAGATCAGGAAAGTCATTGTGTGCAGCTGAATGAAGTGCGTCAGCACTGACTTAGAAGGACAGCAGGATGGCGTGACTTCCACAGCAAGGATTTCAGCCTGCTGGGGAACAGTCTGGCTTCAAGGTTACATGGGCAACCCTTCTGTTGACTTAAAACCCCAGGTATAAATGAGGGAGATGATTGGTAGATACTGTAGATGTAAGTAAATATTGGAGATTGTTAAGTCAAAAACTTAAACTCTTGTTTAGCATAAGTTTGTACAAGCTTTACCTTTCCTTTCTCGACATGGCAGATTTTAGGATGGCATAAAAAAAACTCAAAAAAACAACAACCATATCCTCTGTGTGTATTGGCTGCTGGTCTTTAAGATTTTATGCCTACATAGTTGGCAGAACAGGTCATGAATAGGTATGGCTTTCATCCAGCAGGGAACTCTATCGTAGCGGGGGAACTCTATCGTTTATCATAGACATTTCCATTATTATTAGGGTTTAAAGCCCACCGAATAGGCAGAATGGGTAGATAGTGTAAATAGAATGCATAGATTACCTACCTATCCATTGGCTTAGGTAAAGCTGTTCACATGTTACAACATAGCAAATGAACTCTGTTTTTTGTATAGGTTTCCCTATCGTTAATATTTTTTGTCCACTAAAGCACACTATGCAGCTAATGTAAATGTACTAATTGATTGTAAAAAGTTTAGAATCCAGGCTGCTCTTCAAACAGGAGCACCTATATCTCTATGCCATACAAAATGCATGTAACTGGTTTGTTGGATTATTGCTTTGCCTTTCATGACATGGATCACACCACATTCAGCTTTACTTAATTTATCGCTGCATGCCTGTACAACTGTTGGAGTTGCTTTGGGATGCAGTCCAAATAATGTGATTTATGCATTGATTGAGCATGTTAGTTGGCTTGCACTGAGGAGGTGGACTTGGTGGCCTGTGCCTGGAACCCCTACATTTTTGCTCATTGCCTCTCGTTAAAAGTTTTACATGCGCAGTAGCTCCTTCGCAATACAGAGGTATAGGAGAGATCATGGCACAGCTCTGGTGTGCCTCAAGGTGACAGAAACTGTTGTTACAGTTGTAGTGCGGGTGATTGACAAGCCGAGTCCCGGAAGGGAAGCAAACAAGAGACACTGGAGGTGAAATCGTTTGGACCTGATTGGTCAAAACATTAAAATTAACAAACACCTATACAAAGTTTTGCATAGTTGTTCTTAAATAAACATATTCTCATAAAATAAATATATATTAAGAAAATATAAGGTTGAGTAATAGCTTCTCCATTATTAAACTGATACAGTATTTTTTTTTTAGGTTTGTGAGACCATGCAAAACACTGGTATGCCTTCACAAAACCACAGAAGAGCACAATTTATGTACAAAAAGTAAACCTTAACATGAAATTGTGTTTTGTTTTATAAAGTGTTTTTCAATAACGTCAGTGCCTCTTGACACAGGTTAATTCAGTTCAAGACTCATGCTATCTATTACATCCTATCTTTGTGAAGCGGGATTTTCTGCGGTTACAGCGACCAAAACAAAGCTACGGAGCAGACTGGACATCAGGAGCACACTTCGTCTGTCATTGTCTCCGATTACGCCTAGATGGGACCGGCTTGTTGTTTTATTTTTATGCTGTTTGTATTTGATTTTATGCCAGTCGTATCATTTTCCCCCCATTTCTATAAAAATGGTACCAGAAATATTTGCATTTTCTGCAACATAAACAAACAAACAAACAAAAAATCATTTAAGTTTCTGCAGTTGTTAATGTTAGCAGGAATGTCAATTCTCGCCCATTTGGTGTGAGACTCTCGCATCTCAGTGTCTTCAAATGCTCACACTACATATCCATTAATATTCAATTCCATTTCACTTATTTATATATAAAAATACAGTCCTGGTAAAAAATCTGCTGCACATTTTCAAAACAACCTCAGTGCTAACACACATGGACATGCCATGTTCATACGCGCTCCGTGTTTTTGCACCAGCCAACCTATTCCCTGTGCTGACAGCAGTAGTGTTTTTTTTAGTAAACTTTACTCCTTGTTTGCTCTAGTTTAGCCACCTGATTAAGTCCCAGCTTTAGTCCATGTTTTGCTCAGAAGAAATAAATATTGCTGAGTCTAGTTTAATAATCTCCAGTTGGAAATTTGAATTAATTAAGCCAACACAAATATCTAAATTGTTAAAGCTTTCAAGTATAACTCACAAACCCATAGGAAGTCCACAAAAAAGATAAAGAACAATTACATTTTATTTTTCAAAAGATCAGCCACTCATCCATCAATCCAATTTCCGTCACGCTTCATCCCTGCTGGGGTCGCCATGAGTGCTGGCGCCTATCTGAAGCTGTCTATGGCAACAGGCAGGGTACACCCTGGACACGTCGCCAGTCTATCGCAAGACAACCTGGACAAACAACCATTCATACACACACACTCACAACTACGTAGAATTTAGAGAAGCCAACTAACCTAACTGTCATGTTTTTGGACTGTGGGTGGAAGCCGTACCCAGAGAGAACCCACATATGCACAGGGAGAACATGCAAACTCCATGCAGAAAGACCCTGGGCTGGGAAGCGAACCCGGAACCTTTTTGCTGCAAGGCAGCGGTGCTGCCTAAACATTACCAGAATATAGAAAATAATGTATATTGTCGGAAAATTTTCCACATAACTACATATGACTTATTATTATTCATTAAAATGTACTGTGCTATAAAATTCCATATTTTTCTTACTTAGTTTCAGTTAAATCCTTTGAAAACCTTTAACCTATAGCTACACCTATGCTCATATCCTTTCCATCTAACCCTAACAAAGGTTGCCTATCCACACTCTTTCAAAATCTCACCCCAAGGTTAGGTGAAAAGTAGCCCTATGTTAGACCTATATTGGTCATCAATACAAAATTATATGTACTTAAGGTCCACAAATGTGTGCTCATATAAATTGATAAACAAACCTTATAACTTGCAGCCTGCTGTTTTCTGTATTGCAGCTACTATTGTACTGAATGAGCTCAACTGGACAGAGGCATTGGAGGATGTCTTTAAAAAGAACAGAGAGGATGATCCAACACTCCTCTGGCAGGTGTTTGGCAGTGCTACAGGCCTAGCCCGCTACTATCCAGGTAAGGAATCCACCAACTAAAAATATTTCATTTTCTCAAGATACAGCTGTTGGCTCCATACATTACCTACTTTTCATATTGCTGGTATCTTATGTGACAACATACTGCAGATAAAGGCACCACACTGTTCAGATGTAACATAATGGCCACTACCGGGTGAATAACTGATTAGCTATTCATCATGCTCCCTTTTAGTGGGCAGAATGAACAAGGTTGTGGCAAAACCTTTTGTGTGTCTGGTATGTAAAAAGAAACAAGCAAATTAGAACTGAGATAAGTATGCTGTTGCTAAAACAGGAATTGTGACAAATTTAAGTCTTTGAGCAAGTCTTACAAAGGCAGAAAAGCTCAAAAATTGTGCAAGAGCGTTTCCAAAACCAAAGCTCTGTGAGAGTTTTTCTTTGTTTGTAATGGCTATTCACCAAAAAGGCTTTAAAGAAGGAATGCATGGTAGCAAACAGATGATGGAGTTATGAGTGACTCCAACTCTCAAATGCAGGCAGGGAGAAATGGCTGGCCTGTGTTGTTGTATCTTACAACATGAAAGGAAGATGTTAATGCAGTTTCTATTTAGGGTACCCATGCTGGCACTGGTCTGTGCCAAAAGAACCAAGAAGGAGCATGTGTGCATTAATACTACACAAGAGAGTGATGTGAGATGGTAGTCGAGTTGCCACAAATCTGAAATAGCTTATAAATGTTTTTACAAATAAAACAAAGCATTTGTCTCTCTTCTGCTAATATTTGTTTATCAGATATTCAGTTCACCTTATATTGCATTCACACCAAAAACGATTCCAGCCGTTTTATTGTCACATTTTGCCAGCAATTCGCAAGGTGGGAGAGAACATTCTGCTCCTGTTGCAGGAGCTTCTATCGGCTGCTTGCCCCTGTTTACTCAGCTCGCTGATCTGGATTTTACTGAGTCACTGTTCTTTTTTTCATTAAGGAAATATGAAGCCAGAATTTTGCTATTACGAGCACACGAGTGATACTGTAAATACTCAGAGGAGATGTTTTTTTTTTTGTCTTTTTTTTTTTTTTTAAGTTAGGCTAAAACATTTAATAGAAAGTGCTCTCCTGACGTTAATTACTGTCTATACTAGTCGTCATATATATTCATATACTAATGAATAAGAATAAGGCAGTTTAACAAAAAAAAGCTCCTTTGCCGATTCCATTTTTTGCCCATACTGAACTGGAAGTGTGATGTAACTCCAGGATATTTTCTACCCAACATGGTGGGTCTGCACCCTTTAACAAATGCCTGTGTATCTTCATCAAGAAACATGCTCCCAGAGAATCCACTAACTTTTTACACTTTCTTGAGTAATTTATTTATAGGCTATGTTTAACTTTAACTGAGTAAAAATATGATGAAGTAGTGCTACTAATACTTAAGTATAATCTTCGGGTAATCTGCACCTAACCACCTCTGCATGCTTCTAAAGAATCTGTACGATGCTGGGTAAAAGTAAACCAAACATGTATTAATATGTAAGTGAGATCAAATCGAGTCAAACTGTTTTAATTTATAGTCAGTATAGGTTTCTTTTTTAAAATGTTTTGCTATCCCTGTAACATGTGTGATTGACCTGCATCTACTTACCTGAAGCTCTGTATTTGTCGTAGCATTCTTTGAGATGAAAGCCTGTGCATTCCATTTTTCCATTACGTTATTTGATAATATTTACAGACAGTATAAAACCTGCCACAGTTTAGTTTGTGTGATGAATTTAGAAATCCTTCCAACCGACCATTTGTCATAAAATGTGTCCTATCATGTCTGACAGTGACTCACTGCTGAGCCATATTTAATGCTGCATATTGCAAGAGTCTTGCAGTCAGATTTGTCAGAAATTGAACCAAAATAGGAATTAGTGTTAATTCTATTTAATTATAACCAAGATTATAATAAGCTTGTATTTGATCTCTTTTTATAGCCTCTCCGTGGATGGATGCTCGCAAAACTCCCAGCAAAATTGATCTGTATGATGTCCGCAGGAGGCCATGGTAATAAAACTGAAGAGAAATATGCTCATTGGCCATTCTAATAGGTATATCCGTTCAACTGACAATTAAGCCAACATTATCATGGTCAAAAGCATTTCAAAAAACTCAATGCATTTAGATTTGCAATTCTGTTGGAATAAGAAAGATTTTTTAAGTAAAAGTACCCCAAAGGCCTCCAAAGTCACCATATCATATTCAAATACACCACTTTTAAATGGCATGAACAGGAGATTAACACCATTGATGTAAAACTAAGAAATCGCTGAAACATACGTAATCAATCAGGGGACCATCCTAGTACTAGCACACTGTACCTAATAAAGTGGCCAGTAAGTGTTTATATAAAAGCTTTTTCTTTACTTCGCTCTCCTTGTATAAAATTTGCAATTTCTCTTTTAGTTTTGACTTACTGTTCAACACCAGAAATGAAAACTGATCCTATGTATTGTAAACAAAATATGTATTTGCAAATACAAATCTGTAATTGTCTTTTTTAGGAATTATGAGATCCTTACAAGTTATCAGAATAAACTGTTAAAAATTTGATGATAAAAACAAATGGAAGCTCACAGTTTTTAGTCAGAAACATAGTTATATGCAGCTGGTTTTCTACATTAACCTTTGAAAAGTCTTTTGATAACTTTTTAGTAATAATTTTACCCTATATAAATAAAAATTATCATTAAACGTTTTTCTTCTTCTTTCTTAAGTTGATTTATTATGTCTTTGCATATAACTAATTGTCATAATGTCTGGGTATTGCATATGAAACGTTCTTTTTTATCATTCATCAAGGTATATTCAAGGGGCTGCTTCACCCAAAGATATGCTAATCCTTGTGGATGCGTGAGTATACGAAAAACCCATACAGATCAATGATCTTCTCACATTGTCGTCCCTTTTTATTATGTTTTTTTTTACCTGCTTTGATATATTTTTCCTTCATATTTCTGACAAAATTCTTTTCCACACAATCTCACATGTAAAGGGCTGAGCTGATACTGTGTGAAAGGCTTCTGGGTGTTTAATACTTTTTTTCCCCTTTTCTTCCTGTAGAAGTGGGAGTGTCTCTGGTTTAACCCTCAAACTAATCAGAACATCTGTCAGTGAGATGCTGGAGACACTGTCTGATGATGACTATGTAAATGTTGTTTATGTGAGTATTATTTAATCTTCCTCTTGTGTAAAGCTATCTGTTTTTCCATTTGCCTTTCATTTTCACATAAGATAGGAATGTAAACATGTCCCTATATATATATATATATATATATATATATATATATATATATATATATATATATATATATATATATACAAAAATTGATATATATATATATATATATATATATATATATATATATATATATATATATATATATATATATATATATATATATATATATATATATATATAATTTTTTTTTGCTTCTGTTCTGTCTGCAAATAATCAAGTCAAAGCTGTACAGAACTTAGTATACAATAGGGGCAAAGAGATTGAGACAAATAATTAAATATAGATTAATGGCCCCTCTGAAACAGACATTTCATATAAAAATCACACACCTCTATTTGTTACTATAGATTAGAACCCTGCCATTAGTGCCCCAGATGTAAACAGCTGTGGCTGAACAATCCCATTGCACCTCAAAAAATTAAAGCTGTGCAGTGACAGCAGTAAAACCGGGGAGGCAGTCATCCATCACTTTCTTTGCCTTTAAATTGTATGTTCCTTTAGTCAATGTGGGTTACAACTTCTCTCAGGTTTTCATCAGTCCCTCTGTCCATCACTTTGATTTATCACATGATCTTATAATCTCCATTTTTCTCTTTTCAGAGTAAATGCATCATTTTCTTTATAATTACTTTTCTCACTTACCAATCACCCCTACTATTTCCCCTCTACACATTTCCTTCTACTAAAGACAAACCACCTTTTGCGATTACATTTAGAACAAACCAATCAAGAGATTACTTTTCTGGTACCTGGAGAGATCTTTATTACAGGGGGATTGTAGATCTGGGAGAGGGTAGTCGACTGCTCCATCTCCTCTCTAAGGGAATCCTTTTGTCTTCAAAACAGTGCAATCTGGTTAATTGTTAGCTTGAAATTGTAAAAGACATTTTAAATCAGCAAACTCTGATGAGCTCAGTGAATCATATTAATATCCCTTCTCCACAAGTATAAAACTCAGCAACTCAGTCAGAAAACTACTGGTCACTAATTCTTAAATAGCATAAAGTCTTTTGTTTTACATTAATATTAGCATATGTTTAGTGGGCCCAAAGTGTTTACGACCATGTGGCATTTGCTTACCCTGATCTGTTTTCTAGCTTGTTCGATAGCACACCATGGCTTCCTTCTCTTTCCCGAACACATCTAGAGTGCTTTGTCTTGTGACTAGCAGCCTTTTCTACTTCTTGTCATTGGAACGAGTTTGACTAAAAGGCATAAAGATTTCAAAAAGTCCTCCATTGTTGATGTGTTTTTGATGCATACAGACAAAACAAGGTCAATAGAGTTGGTATTAATGGAAAGAGGGCCCTATTTGCACACTAGAGCATTGTCTGGTTAAAATGAAAAAGAAAAAAAATGTTTTCTACTCTTAATGTACGACACAATGGTGTGTGCTTTCTGTTCAAATGGATCAAAAAAAAAAGTCCTAAATGAAAGCATTTCAAAGCATCCCACTCTCTGATGGGAAGCCTTGTTACAGACATATTATTGTTGTAATCAGTAGGAAGATAAAGCCCTCTGGTAACATATCAGGGTAATTACCCACTTTTCAGTGCTTTTAAAATTATTTATTTTACAGAAAATATCATTGAAATTTTTACCTAATGACAGCCTCTCCTATTTACTAAAATATTTGTCAAGCACAAGGCAGAGACCACATGATTATGATGTATTATATTAGAAACTGATAGTGTTGCTGTTTTAGACCAGTTATATCCTGATACAGTTTTTGTTTAATGTTTAGCATCAAGACAATTTTTAAATGAATATTTAGAAACTGTTACTAGACTTCCTTTTTTAATTGGTTGTATACATGTTCAAAGAGTAATATGTGTATCTATTCCTGAGGGTGTTGTTACCTGTCACTGAATCACCAGTTCTTGATATTACCCATAAATCATTAACCTCACTAACTGTAGCCTTGGGACTAAGCTGGCATTTGATGATGGAAGATCTTGGATCCAAACCTTAGCTGAACCGATCAAAGATTTTGAAGGATTCTTTTCTGTTTTTCATACATCTTCTCCACTGTGTTTTATTTTTTTTCATGCTTTGACCCCTGCTCAACCCCTTTGGCCATCCCTACACCCCCCCCACACACACACCCACACACCCCCACCCACATCCCCTAACCTCTCACAACCTCTATAACATTCATCCTGTGTGTTGAGCCATGTTTACCAGCACCAGTATAGCGAGTGTCACATGGTTACAAGGCAGAAATGCAGAGTGTCTGGCGGGATTAGAGTTTGGAGATTAGCCGTCTTTTCTGAGTCATCGCTAATCCGTTTCTAAAGCCTGGACGATGGCACACACATACGAGAGCTGTTGTAATAGGATCCCAGGAGAACTGTAAAATTCAAAGTTTCATTCACATGTATTTTGTTCAGTCCTCACTTTTTTTTTTCTCTGTGGGTATAATAAGCCTAGTTTGGAGTAGAAAATAGGATCCGTCTCCTGGTGGAGATGATGAATGTGTTATATGAGCTTACTATGAAATTTTCAATTTCCTGCCTTTAAAACAACTTTTGAATCCTGTCTTCACACCCCTCCCTTTTTGTCCTGTTCCTCTCATTCCCACCTTCTGCTCTCACCTCAGTCACGTCTTCTTTATATTGAATATGTGATAGGAAATCTCTGTTTGCTTCATGTTTCCAATTATAAGCAAATGTATAATTTTACCGTTTGTGTGTGCCTTGCTTGTAATTATGTTTCGTCACCCTGATCTATTTGTGACAATGCATATTATTCCAGAGATAGTCCTGTATTTTACTATTCCTCTGATAGGAATTTTAGTGCTGTTAAATACAGAGTGGGAACCTTCTGTCAACTCGTCTGTGCGGATCAGTTATCAGCTCTACAGACTCACAGGGAAATATTGATTAGTTTAAAACAATGGAGGGCATTATTGGTTTACAACAAGTCTGCAACACAAAAGTACTGATCACTCTGGTCATAGTGTAAATAAAAAATACAAAAAACATAATGTTGTCAATGAGCTGATTAAAAACTCTGTTTAAGTCGAATTACATATTATTCTACATGCTATGTAACTGTTAAAGAGTCGCTGCATATGTTGAAGTTGTGGCTTTGAGGAATTTTGCATATATATTATGTCGGGTTGAGATGAGTAGGTCTCACCTTTGAAAAAAAAAAATATGATCCTGCGGCCTATCCTCATTTTTATATAGCAGAATCTTGTTTCCATGGGTACCGAATCGTTGAGCTCCAAGGATGTGAAGCAATTAGTGGGGCTTGATGAATGTGTCTGTTTACCACTGCCTGATAACAGGCAAGGCCAGGTGGGAGTGTTTTCCATGCATGCGTGTCTGCAGTTGCGCGTGCATTCATATTTGCTACACATACACATATGCTTTAATTGTATAAATAGTTTTGGGTCACAACTTCATTCCTCTGTTTCTCAGTTTAACACCAGGGTGAAGAACACAGCCTGTTTTGACCATCTGGTTCAGGCTAACGTGAGGAACAAAAAGCTACTGAAAGATGCAGTGCAAAACATTACAGCCAAAGGAATTACAAATTACACAAAAGGCTTTGAGTTTGCTTTTGAGCAGCTTAATATGGTGAGTAAAAAAACGTTTTTTGTCAGACATCAGTTTTTAGCAGGAACACAGAAACTGATGTAAGTTTTGAATGAACATTGCCTCTTATGGCTTTATGGTTCAGTGAGTTTAAAGTGTTGTCTGCACTGCCATCTGCTGGTTGAGGGTAGTGTCTCATTTATGGGTTTGGAAAGGGACCGAATGTGTCACAGAAGAATAGACTGTCTTTTATTGAATAATAATAGTAATCTCTAAAATTAGCCAAAATAATTTTCAAATAATTAATAAAAAATTCAAAGTTTTAACTCCAACCATGTGACTGTCCAATGAAGCCTGTCCCCTATATTTTTTTAAAGAGCAAAATTATTGTTTTAATCATAATACATCATTTTGATATAAAGCAGTTTATTTGATCATATTGGTTTTTTTTTGTATGGAAAGTAGTGTTCTTGTGTTTTTTCATTTGTGTTGCTTAATGATTATGCAAGGAAAATGCTTTTTACTGTAAGCAGTCTGCTTTAAAGGAGAAGAATGAAAGTGCCCTGACTCAGAAGTTTATGTCTGATTTCTTCATAGACTAATGTGAGCAGAGCAAACTGCAACAAGATCATCATGCTTTTTACGGACGGTGGAGAGGAACGAGCTCAGTCCATACTGAAAAGATATAATTCAGACAAAAAGGTAACTACAGGGGTTGGCAAATACATTTGATTATGGGTGACTGTTTATATCATGACATTTGTTCTGGCTGAGGTAAATAGAAGGCAGAGGAGAAAAGCAAAGTTTAATTGTCAAAACAAAATTAAATATGCTTCAAAGAGGGACTTCTCTAAACAAAGATCCGAGTGAAAAAATGATAACAAGTTCAAAAGCTGTCTGAAAACGAAGAACACAAAAAACTGATCAATCCAAAGTAGGGATATGTGAAAATAAATTGCCTTGTACACGCAAGTTGGTTCTAACAACTTCCATCAAACTCAAGTGAGAACTGGCAGGAAATATACAATGCAACTCTGAGGGGTACTCCTTTTATTATTTTTATTAAGTCACAACTTGTTTTAAGTCATTGAGAATTAGGACTTGCTGGTGTGCTTTACATAATTGTTTTGAAGCTTAACATAAAAGTATGTTAAATTAGTGCACAATTTGATAGCTGGACATTCTTCCTTAGAACCTTCCATCAGGTTATTGACATCCTGAAACAGAAAAAGAGTCCTGGTCCACCATGCTACCAACACCATGTTTAACTGGTGGTATGGTTTTATTTTGCAGAAATAATTATGTTTTGTGAGCTTTGGCTGATTACAAACCTTCCAAAAGGTTACACTTTTACTTCACCAGTCCCCTAAATGTTTTCCGAAACATTTTAAATGTTTTATTTTTAGTCAGTGGTGGTTCTTTCCTTGGAACTCTGCCAAGATGTTTTTTTTTTAATTGTTGAATTCTCTATATCTTTTGAGTCATGTGCCTGACTGCTAGTGGGTGAAATCAGGGCTTCAGTGTTTTAAATTTTCTTCTTGGTTGTTCTATTACGGTCTTAGAAATGCTATGGATACATTTGGATAGGTCACTCACTGTGGAGATGGTCCACCACTTTTCCATATTTTCTCCATTTGTGGGTAATGGCTCTTGTTATGGTACACAGGTTTTAAAATACCTTAGAAATGGTGTTTTCACCCTTCAAAGACTGTCACATGTCAGGGAATTTTCTGCTGATCTGCTCTTGAATTTTGTTTTAAATTAAGGTATGTGGTTCATTTGGTGATTTTTGTGTGTGTGTGTTTTTTAACCTACTTAATTTTAATGTATGTCCTAAAGGACTGAGTTCTTTTTTTCTAGAGGTAATTTATCCTTGTCTCCTTGTATAGCTAGAAAACTGAACAATGGTGCAATGTTGCATAAAGGGTAACTTGTGGGTTGCTGGTTTCAGTTCCCCTGCGTTTGTTTCCTTGGTCAAGACACTTCACCCGCCTTTCCTTCTATTGGTTGTCAGAGTCTCCGTTAGCACCGATGTTTTGCAGCCTCATGTCTCTGAAATAAAATGTATTGCCCCAGCTAATATACTGAAATTCCAGTTACTAAGAAGAAAATTCAACATATCAGATCAAGCATAGTTTTTGGTCAAACACAATGTTGATATAATGTTTGATGGTATTTTAATGATATACTGAACCACAAATAAAATTTACTCAAATCTAAGTAAGAAAGCAGGATAGCTAATTTACTGAAAAACTGAAACACTCAACCAGTTCTTAGTGGGGTTCAGGTCTTTTTACTGAGTTGCAAATCTTTTTCACAAGAACAATATAAGTATATGATTCAAACAAGTTTTTTTTTTTTTTTTGCAAAATAGGAGTTTTTCATTAATAAGGAGAGGGACACCAGTTGGGGATCAAAGTAAATTTATGATTCTGGTTATTTAAATTATGCCAACTACCTCCTACACTTTTAGCCAAAAACCATTACCTAAAGCTAGGCAAATTCATCTTAACTCTTCAATAACACTTTAGGAATAAACATTGCTTACACTGTTTCCAAATCAAAATATGGCATTTTAACTTTGATTTACATTGCAAAAAGTCAAAATCGGCAGAAGGCAAAATAATCTTAAAAATAAAATTGCTACTGCTTGTCAGAGATCAAACTGTGCATAATTTTTCTTTAAGCAGAAAGTATTTATTTTTATATTAAATCCTCCACATCATCATCTGTACGTTGCACATTGAGAAAAAATTCAGACACCCAGTTGTGCCTTTTTAGTAACATAGGCAAAAGTGTAGATAGATGGACGGACAGACAGACTCTTCCCTCTAACTTCAGCAAGTGGTCCTTACCTGGTGTAGATTCCCGTCTGTGTTACGTAGTTCCATTGTCAATGTATACAATAGTTGTTCTACTGAGTATTTACATGGCTTAAGTGTTTATTCAAATCTATTTATTAACTAATTACTCTTTTCATTGTTCTGTACTAGGTCAGAATCTTCACCTTCTCAGTCGGACAACACAACTATGATAAAGGACCCATTCAGTGGATGGCCTGCTCCAACAAAGGTAGCCTACATGGTCTCAGCCACTGCATTTCTACAGTAATTCAGTTTTTTTACTTAGAGACAACTTTTTACATTGGATCAAAATGTCAATAATTTTTATACTTCATATGGTAGTCATATAAAAAAAAAATCTGAAGATCCAAAGGAATGAAGTAAAATCACAGGACAAGTTAAAAAGAAGGGATGTTTGAAGTTTATTTTTCCCAGATGTTAAAGTCTTGTCATTTACCCAGGTTACTTCTATGAGATTCCTTCCATCGGAGCCATCAGAATTAACACACAGGTGATGTTAGAATATAGTCTCTTCAAGAATTTAAGAAATGCATCCTTCTATTGAAGTACATCACAACAATCTGTTTTTGTTGCTTGTTAAATGTAGGAATACCTGGATGTCTTAGGAAGGCCCATGGTGCTAGCAGACAAACAAGCCAAACAAGTCCAGTGGACTAATGTATATCTTGACGCTCTGGTAGGACATCACCCATTTATGAACTCTTATACATTGCAGAACATAATTTTACCGGAAAGATACTTATCAGTGTTATCTCCTGAAAATGAATCAGGAACTTGGTCTGGTCATCACTGGAACATTGCCTGTTTTCAATAGAACAAAGACGGTTGATGACAAGAACAAAGAGGTAAAAATAAAAAAATGCAATCAAGATACGTGGAGTTCCTTGGTTTTACTGACAATATTTCTTGACTTTTCCTTGTTTTTTGTTTTTTTTTTTTCACCTAAGATTCAGAATCAGTTAATTTTGGGTGTAATGGGAATTGATGTATCACTTGACGACATCAAGAAACTCACACCACGCTTCACGGTGAGTGTGATACTCCCAAATGGGATTACATGCATGCAGAAAAATGCATTTATCACCTAAAGTCTTATGACTTGTTACAGTGCTCAAACTTTCCTTATTTGTTTCTTTCTGAGAAGTGGATATGTAATTAAACTGAAATGTGTTGGCAGTCTTTATACAAAACCACACGCAAATCAGAACATGCTGCTAATAATGCGATTTCTTTGTTCCAACTTGCTCTGGTGCTTTGGGACCAGTTAATCCCTCCTGCAAGTTTTTAACAACCCATTTGTCTGCAGTAACACCATAAATCTTTTCAATCCAGTGTTAGTACTCTGACGGCTGCCCAGCTGTCATGGGTTGAGAGGCAGAATATTTTCTAAGCAGGATGTCAGAGTACAAGGAAATTAACATTAATTCCTGCTCATACTCATACAAAAAAAGGACATACTGCACTGTGAAAAAAAACAACAAAAAAAACATCCCAGCTAAAATATTTGGTGTAAAATGACCATGGTGCACATCAATGCACCATGATCCCACCTCCCATTTGCTTTGAATAATAGCATTATTTGGGATTTTTGAACAGAGAGTTTATGTATTTCCTCTTTGTTCATCTTTACATCAGATTGGTCCCAATGGATACTACTTTGCTATTGATCCTAATGGATATGTCCTGCTGCACCCAAATCTCCAACCAAAGGTATGACAATTGCATGTCAATGTCTTATATTCTAAATGAATATTATAAACAGCTCCACCATAACCCATTATGGTCATTAAATGTTTTACGTTCTAGCAGATGTTACAGGATAGTGTGGAGTTTTTCAAAAGCTGGCAACAGATCAGTCTTCAGAAACATTTACTCCCTTCTAAAAAAATAGTCTGGAAGGTTACTTTGTTGTATGCGATCTCATAGATTAGAAGACCTGGTTGTGAACTGGCATATATTCTTAAAACTAGGGGATACAAATGAGCTGTGGCACCGTTTGTGGTAATCTGTTTGGGATCTTTAAGTCTGATTATATTTGTTTTTCTGCACATTTTATACTAAATTTATATTTGCTCACAATTGATTTTTAATGCTTAATATTGAAATGTGAAGCTAAGATATATGCTTTAAACTGTTGAAATTCTGCTTAACATGAAAATGTTTAAGCCTGTCCGAGGCCATGGATTGTCACATAATTTCTGAGATAAATGCAGTTGGACTTTCAGCCACTGGCACACATTAAGATATGACCCCATAAAAATTAACCATGACCTTAGAAGAGGTTCCAGCCTTCCTTTCAACAAATCCCATTTCAGTTCACTACCTTCAGTTTCAGGCATGCCAGCACTGACAGGCTGTATGTTGGCCATGTGTTGCCCAGAGCTCTAAAGCGCTTTGCACTACTCCATAGATCTGACACTGCAGACCACACACAGCCGCTTCACGCCAAGAAGTTATGGTTCGAATGATTTTATTTCTTAGTTTAATACATTCATGGATGTGGTAATTCATATCCTGTCAGTTCACATTAGTGTATGCCTACAACTTAAGGTAACTGAAGATAACATTAAAAACAAGTTGACTTTTATAATCGTGGTTGAAGACTTGCCCAGCTTGGAAAGAAGGAAAAAAGGGGAGGTTTAGTTTGTGTGATTAGGGCACTTTATGTATCCCGAGGTCACTGTGTCATCAGCTCTTCTTCCCATGTATTTAAACATCAAAGTTTGTCACTGTACACATGTGTATAATTCTTTCTAGAAAAGGATTCGCAACAGGAAGCTCAGGCTCAATAATAAGTACATTGTCACATTTCATGAGGTGAGATAAACTAGTGACATTTAGATTGCTAAAGTAGCTTCATGGCAATTCTAAAAGGTTTTCTGTTTTCCAGTCCTGTAGACATAGCAGCAGTTGCTTTAGTAACCCATAATGTTCAATAGGAGGATAAAAATAACATTTGATGTGCTTTGCAATCCTTTGTCACCAACTTATAGCTTCACCAAACCTTCCTGCTTAGCTATAAATCCAACTACTTATCCGACAGTAGTTAACAAATGAGTTGAAGCTCCCTACTTTCATACGCAAAAAAAAAGGTAGAAAAAAAACATGCCTGGATACAGTATAGCCATAAAGGACTCATTCTTAACATTTTAGACAGAATGAATTCTATTTTTTTTTGTTAAATAATAAAGTAGAGCTATGCCTTTTATGTGACAAAGGAGACTTAAAGAAGAATATTGTATTCCCTGTAGGTCTGTAGAGGTTTTCCTCTTACTTCTTTATTGTTTTACTTGTAGCCAACAAAGATTTGGAAGATCTGTCATGGCATTATTTTAGAAGTGTGATTATTTGTCATAGTTGGCAAATAAGCACTTCAAGTTTCCTATTAAATTATTCCTCCGAGCAATGTGACCTTACGTTGTAATGAGGCTACCCCTGAAATGATCTCATTTTGAGCTTGCATTCTAGCAAGCTTATTTCCCATTAGCCCTCAGGTGGATACACTGTCTCACTTAATAAGTCAAATAACGAATTGAAGAATACTGATGGTGACCTTGAGGCTTGTTAAGCATCAGAATATTAAATATGTCATCCAAACCTCCTGGTTTGGTTTGCTGCTGTGTTTTTGCTTTCATCTCACACCCCAGCTTCCATCATTTCTGACATAGAGAAGTCTCTGTAATCCTTTTTATTCTTTCATTGTTCAAAGGGCAAATGAAACATGTTTTGGAGCCAACATCAATTGAAAACAAAAATGTATATATGTATATATATACATTTTGAGAAGAGGCATAACTGATTTTTATATATATATATATATATATATATATATATATATATATATATATATATATATATATATATATATATATATATATATATATATATATATATATATATATATATATATACACTATATTGCCAAAAGTATTTGCTCACCTGCCTTGACTCACATATGAGCTTAAGTGACATCCCGTTCCTAATCCATAGGGTTCAATATGACGTCGGTCCACCCTTTGCAGCTAGAACAGCTTCAACTCTTCTGGGAAGGCTGTCCACAAGGTTTAGGAGTGTGTTTATGGGAATTTTTGACCATTCTTCCAGAAGCGCATTTGTGAGGTCGCACACTGATGTTGGACGAGAAGGCCTGGCTCTCAGTCTCCGCTCTAATTCATCCCAAAGGTGTTCTATCGGGTTGAGGTCAGTACTCTGTGCAGGCCAGTCAAGTTCATCCACACCAGACTCTGTCATCCATGTCTTTATGGACCTTGCTTTGTGCACTGGTGCACAGTCATGTTGGAAGAGGAAGGGGCCAGCTCCAAACTGTTCCCACAAAGTTGGGAGCATGGAATTGTCCAAAATGTCTTGGTATGCTGAAGCATTCAGAGTTCCTTTCACTGGAACTAAGGGGCCAAGCCCAGCTCCTGAAAAACAACCTCACACCATAATCCCCCCTCCACCAAACTTTACACTTGGCACAATGCAGTCAGACAAGTACCGTTCTCCTGGCAACCGCCAAACCCAGACCCGTCCATCAGATTGCCAGATGGAGAAGCGCGATTCGTCACTCCAGAGAACGCGTCTCCACTGCTCTAGAGTCCAGTGGCGGCGTGCTTTACACCACCGCATCCGACGCTTTGCATTGCACTTGGTGATGTATGGCTTGGATGCAGCTGCTCGACCATGGAAACCCATTCCATGAAGCTCTCTGCGCACTGTTCTTGAGCTAATCTGAAGGCCACATGAAGTTTGGAGGTCTGTAGTGATCGACTCTGCAGAAAGTTGGCGACCTCTTCGCACTATGCGCGTCAGCATCCGCTGACCCCGCTCCGTCAGTTTACGTGGCCTACCTCTTCGTGGCTGAGTTGCTGTCGTTCCCAAACACTTCCATTTTCTTATAATACAGCTGACAGTTGACTGTGGAATATTTAGGAGCGAGGAAATTTCACGACTGGATTTGTTGCACAGGTGGCATCCTATCACAGTTCCACGCTGGAATTCACTGAGCTCCTGAGAGCGACCCATTCTTTCACAAATGTTTGTAAAAACAGTCTGCATGCCTAGGTGCTTGAATTTATACACCTGTGGCCATGGAAGTGATTGGAACACCTGATTCCAATAATTTGGATGGGTGAGCAAATACTTTTGGCAATATAGTGTATATACATATATATTGAAATGTTTTGTAAAATGGGTTATTGTATTTTATTATATTTATTATCATTACATAAAAAATATGTATATATATATATATATATATATATATATATATATATATATATATATATATATTTTTTTTTTTTTTTTTTTTTTTTTTTTTTTTTTTTTTTTTTACCCTACAATGGAATTCACACCCTAATGTAGGCTTTGTGTAATTGCAGGGAGTTTATGGCATAAATAAATAAATGATCAATTTTGAAAGGTAATTTAAAAAGATTATTGCCTTCTAATATTGTAATATTGAAAAGTAAATTGCACAATTAAACTTAAAGTAGATACACTTTAAAAGTTTTAGTATTTTTAATTTAAATGGGATTTATGTCGAAATATTGAAGAATTGGTCAAAGAAGGGTGCAAAAACGTTCTTTCTAATTAAAGGGGAGCCCAGCAAAGAGCATTTGGGAACAGATGCCTAAAGCAATAACACTAATGATAGCTAGAAACTAGTGCAGAAGCTTCTATTCAACTATATTTATTTGTAAAAGAAATGCAGATGAAGGGCTTTTTCCTCTTGGTGTTTATCCAGAAAAACACAATTTAATCTAAATGAGCAGGCCTCTCTTGGTATCATTTAGATATGTGCCAGAAAATGTATTAACCTTCTCTAAAAGAGCATTGCTGCACCATCTTCTTCTCGGTGGTTGAGAGCGGTGTTGTAGATTCTTCCAATAGAAAAAAGAAACTCAGTATTTACTCATTTGGTTTCATTTGCCTTTTAATCTCTTTTTCCATATTTAGTTAGTTATACCTGTTTAGATTTGTATTTATTTTCATTGTTTTTCTTTCCGGCTAAGATTTATTATTGATGTTTTATTTCTTTTTTTTCTATCTTATCTCATTTTCCATGTTGAGATTCATCGTCTTCATCATCAACATTTTCCCTGTCAAATCTAGTTTTCTCACCATCACATGTAAGATTCTTACTTTGTTTTCTTTTACTCATCTTTATGTTGATTATTTTTATTGTTAAATACATTTTACAATAATTCACACCAGAAAATAAATCACATGTTTTCATTGTTAGAAAAATTTAAAACAAATAGTCTTAGCAGTTTGCACTCTATATGTTAAAAAGATGTGAAATATAGGCTGGTATTTTACATACTGCCCTTTTATAGAGAAGAAGTAAATTACTGCTGCCATTTTATATCACTATAAAGTCACTCAGACATATAGGGTTTTTAGGAGAGTAGGTTTGGTGTTCAGTTTCACTTTGTATCAAGTCTGATTCTTGCTCTATGTGGTGTCAGATATAATCACATAATTCCACCAAATGCTCCATATCCTTTGTATTTTGTATTTTGGATGGTATTAAATGTTAGAGTAAAATTCCCTCTGAAAAACAGTGTTTTAGTAATAATAATCTACGTAATGAATACTTAAATGAAGGATAAATGAATTGCTTAAAACTTGATAAAACTGTAATTTGCTGTTAATGTAGGGTACAACTTTTCTTAAACTTATACTTCTCAACTTTATTTAAGGAAAAGCAACAATATTTCAATCTAAGCATTTAGTTTATCCGTACTCTTTCATATATTGCTCAAATAAATTAGGTTATTTTTAATTGGGATTGTCTCCTTTTATCTCTTTACATTTGACTATATCTATGATTATGGTAGTGGTGTTCCTGTACACGGTCACACAACTTGTCATTTCTGGAAGTTAAATCCAAAACCTAAGAAATATAGGATGAGTACTGAAAAAAAAAAAAAAAAAAAAAAACATCCATTAGTTTTTTTCTCAAACTGGATCTGGCATATTACATCTGCTTGTAGCACATTGGCGCGTCAGGGACAAGAAAAAAACAAAAAAACTATAAGCTAAGCTATGTAAAATCCAACTTTATTTATATAGCACTTTAGAAAACCAACAGAACCTAAGTGCTTCACAAAAGCAGAATTACAAACACCATTAAATGCATTAATGTTAATAAAGATTTTATTGAATAAATTAAAAAGTAAAAACAACAAAAAAATAATTAAGAAATAAACCAACACCAAAGATGATGATGAGAAAGATGAGACTTTAAAAGAGAGAAATATGGTACAAATAATACAGATACTAAAAGTGCTTGATATTCAATTCAATTAAATTCAGTTAATTTATATAGCACCAATTCACAACACATGCCATCTCATGGCACTTTACAGAGACAATCAAAGAGATGATACAGTCAGATTGGTTCAAAGCTCTCAATCCAGGGAAAATCGGCTGATTTAATTGACTCATTAATTCAACTGAAATCCCTCACACCAAGCATGCATGCAGTGACAGTGGGGAGGAAAACTCCATTTCAACAGCAGGAAACCTCTAGCCGAAGGCTGTGAGCAGTGTGAGTGGCCTACTAACGAGGGTGACTAGGGTTAAAGAAGTAAGAACTAGACATAAATGAAGAAAAAATAATAATAAAAAAATAAAAAGTTAAGAATGGATGATTCTCCATAACAATATTTACATTAAAAATGTTGAACATAAAGGTACTCATAAGATATTTGTTATATTAAGTATGAGAAATACCATACAAAGTATTCAGGAAACTCATATGGCCTAAAGGTAAAACAGTTTGTTAAAGTAATATTTCTAAAAACATTCTAAATAAATCTATCTATAAATTTATACAGACCAAAAAAGAACAATTACTGTAAGGAAAGTTTTCAGGTTATATCCTTACAACTATCAGTCGGTTGAACAACAGTAGTTTGGGTGTCTTTTGTTTTGTTTTTTTGGGTGCGTTAAACAGTTTTATCTTTGGTATTTAAAATAGATGCAGCTCTGGAATAATTACATATTTTTAAACATGTTGAGATTAGTGTACCTGTTTGTCTGAAGCAATGATGGGTTTATACATTATGTGTAGCTTAGCTGAACCTGAAATCCAGTTTAAAAAAAAAAAGAACTTGATTACCAGGTCTCAGGTCTTAAAAAAAAATATTTAATTTTGATTTGTTTTAGTATTTGCCATATCACTGGTAGGTAGCACTGGGTTATCTGTGATGTCCCTACAGCAAGAATATTACTATAATAATGTTTTTCTCACCTCAATAGGTTTAAAAATAACTAATAAAAAGAAGCAAAACTACTTTGAGCATTACTTTAGAAAATCTTGAGTAAAATTTTATCTGTTTTTTGTGATTCATTTGCTGTTTCTTTTTAGCCTAATTTTAATGTAGTTGTCTACAACTAGATCAAATATCAAAACCAAATTATTATGTCTGTACAGAATCCTAAATTTCAGGAGCCTGTGACCCTGGACTTCCTTGATGCAGAGCTGGAAAATGACATAAAAGTTGAGGTAGTGTATCCTGACAAATGAATCACTGCGGGTTGGTAAAATCTATAAAGATTAATATCTGCATGATGAAACACTGTTTTGCCTGGACCAGACTTAGTTTTTTTCTGGAAATATTTCAGCACCTATCAAGGAACGTTTGTCAGTTCTGGTGGTGAAACTCCTAGATTGGTGTCAAAATGTTTTCAGAAACAAAAGAGCAATGTGTAGTTGCTTCAAGATTTAGCCTATTTTGTGGAACACAGCATAATATTTGTATTTATTTTGAAACATATCATGATCATTGACGGACACAGTGACTTTTGTAATTCCTCTTTTTATCTTTTGGTTTGCAGATTAGAAGAATGATGATTGATGGGGAGATAGGAGAAAGAACTATTGACACTTTAGTGAAAACTCAAGATGAGGTAAGAGGTTATAAAGAAAAGTGCTTAGTATGAAATGTTTCTATGAGATATTTGCTGTTTTAACATGATACAAGATTTTACTTCACAACAAACAGACTGATAGATAATGTTAAGGAAGAAAATATTCTAAAATAGTTAACTTGGAAAAAGTTGGCTGTCTCTCTTCCTCTGGTCCCTGGCCCTCCCGGCGAGCTGCGTGTGGCCCCAAGGAAAACCAGCAATGCGTGTTGACGTCACAGAATTAAAGAGTTTAATCCAATATAAGACAATGCATAAACTTAGAAGTAAGACAATGCACAAACTTACACCAGAAACTGCAGAACAACAGAGACATACATTCAATTACCTGACATAAATGGAGAGAAGGAAAGAAAGCAAAGACGTACAAAGACATCTTTGGAGAGTTGCAAGAGCAAATCTGATTTGTTACTTCTGTGTAGAAAGTTTTATCCTCTTGTATTTAATTTATTCAAATAAGGCTGGCTTTTGCTCCTCCAACCAGGAGCTATCTTGGACACTCAGAAAAACTTAGAACTTCCCCTAATTTACGGCCTGGCGTCCAGGAATTCTAAGGTCTTCTGGCTAAAGAAAACATAAGATAAGACCTCACAGAATAGCTGTGAAATGCGGGGCCTCTCCTACCATAAATTCTCAGGAACAAACTTAAATTCAGTAATTTGGTTCAAGGAAAGGTTATCTTCACAAACTTGTTCAAAATTAAGAAATATGTTCAAAATGAGAGTGTTCAACATACCTTTTACACATGCCATAAGATTAACTGTATTAAAAACTAAAAATAATCATTTTTCTTTAAAACACTTTTTTATATTGCTAAATGTATCTCATAGCTAGTACTCTCCTGTTAAATCAAAATTTTGTCAACTCCTGATGCATAATTAACTGTTTCAAAATGATAGCTTATGAGTTTTCAAAAAATGTGAGAATGAACCAGATGCATAATGTTTAGGACACAGTGTTTTGTATGAGGGGCCGTTTAGGACAGAAACTATTTTTCCTCTCACGTACACCAATAAAACCATGCACACACCTCAGTAGACACACACACACTCAACAAAAATATGTTTTCCTCTCAAACACATTACTATGACATGCACACATCACAGTAGAAACACTCACACACTCTCAAAAAAACTATGTTTTCCTCTCAAAGACACTACTATGACATGCACACATCACAGTAAAAACAGTCACACACAATCACAAAACTAAAATTGAATATATGTCTAATGTGTGTGTGTGCACTAATACTAGACTGTATGAGAGGGCATAAGTGTGTGTGTGTGTGAACTAATACTAGACTGAATAAGAGGCTATACGTGTGTGTGGGTGTGAACTAATACTAGACTGAATGAGAGGCTATACATATGTGTGTTTGTGTGTGTGTGTGCGCGCGCGCATGTGTATATGTGACTGATATCGTAGTAGACTGACTGAGAGGCTTGTACTTGTGTGTGAGAGAGTTCAACCTGTCACGGAAGAGGCGGGGCAAATTGGCTACCGCATGCGTGGAACCCAAACTGAGCAATACTAATGCGCTAGCCAATTTGCCCTGCCTCTTCCGTGACAGGTTGAACTCTCTCACACACAAGTACAAGCCTCTCAGTCAGTCTACTACGATATCAGTCACATATACACATGCGCGCGCGCACACACACACACAAACACACATATGTATAGCCTCTCATTCAGTCTAGTATTAGTTCACACCCACACACACGTATAGCCTCTTATTCAGTCTAGTATTAGTTCACACACACACACACACACTTATGCCCTCTCATACAGTCTAGTATTAGTGCACACACACACATTAGACATATATTCAATTTTAGTTTTGTGATTGTGTGTGACTGTTTTTACTGTGATGTGTGCATGTCATAGTAGTGTCTTTGAGAGGAAAACATAGTTTTTTTGAGAGTGTGTGAGTGTTTCTACTGTGATGTGTGCATGTCATAGTAATGTGTTTGAGAGGAAAACATATTTTTGTTGAGTGTGTGTGTGTCTACTGAGGTGTGTGCATGGTTTTATTGGTGTACGTGAGAGGAAAAATAGTTTCTGTCCTAAACGGCCCCTCATAGTTTTGGTCTAAAATGCATGTTGACTGGGGCAAAGTCATCTGCAAATTTCATATCAGTTTAGTTTCATTAAAAGCACTGTACAACTGAAATTATTGTAAAAAGATTTGTGTAATATCTTTTGTCTTTTTTGCTTACAATGTCAAATAAACTGAGAGAATAGTGAGCAATCAATTGGTCTCTCATGTAGAAAACCTTTGCTGAAACGGGCCCACTTTAATCTTATATAGATTATCAAGAATCTCAAGGCGATATTTTCAGTTGTATGAAGGTATGACATGTGATGAAGCACCACAGGATAAGTCTATTGATATGGATGTTTAAGAAATTAATAAATACTAATTTCATCAGCTGTGGTTAAATAACTTGTTGCCACCTATGAGCTGATCACCCATGCAGTAATTATCCAGGTTTTTATAGATTTGCTTAATTAATCCAGGTGGCAAACTTTTTAGCCAGGCAGTGAACAGTGTTAGGATAATTCTTTGACAGTATGAGAAATACATGCACCCTGAAACATGGATGACTTTGGTTTTCTAGTAACCAGAGAGGGTCAGTGCTTTCATCCAACTTCCAATTATTTTCCAAGGAGACCTATACTGTATGTGCAATATGTCTGATTGAGGAGTCCACAGATTGGTTTGGGGAAAAGCTGAAGTGAGAGAATTTTCACCTTACATTACCCTGATTATCCTCACAAAAAGTTTTCTAGACAGGGTCATGTATTTGCAATGGCTTATTGGGAAGAAGAGACTCAGTCTTACAGGGCTTTGTTGCTGCTTTGTTTTTCAGTCATAGCCGTGTGCCTGCACCTTTTCAATACTCCATGTGTATTCAACAAAACTTTTTAAATTTAATCTTAAAAGCCAAGTTCTTATTTCATTTTCATGGAAGAGAAAAAATGTATTTCTTTCTTATAAATTGTAAAAACATTGGCAATTGTAATGTTGCCAGAGTAAGATTAAAGCCTCATAATTCATTGCCTTTGCTAGAAATTAAGAGTATTGTCATTTGGAGTCATTTTTGAACCATTTCCACTGTCCATTTCCATCCATTTTCTGTCACGCTTATTCCAAGTGGGGTCGAGAAGGGTGCTGGTGCCTATCTCCAGTTGTCTATACGGGCGAGAGGCGGGGCACACCTTGGACAGGTCGCCAGTCCATCACAGCCACTGTGCTCTTCCTTAATTTGACATTTTAAAGAAAATGTTTGATATAAAAAAAATCAGACTAGATTGTTTGACTTCAACGTAAATCAAATTTAGTCATTTAAAGCCGGTAATATTAATCAACCCTGTTATATTAATTAAACTAAACTAGCATAGTTAACTTTAATTGGCACTGGTTAAATTTACCTTCACAGCACTGTTATAAAAAATTATGTCTACAATGCTACATCTAGGAATCTTACTTTGTTTGTCCTTCCTTTATATATATTATATTAAAATTATGTATATTTATAGAGATATTTTGCTATTAATCAACTAAGTTGACATAACTTGGTTAAGTAAAGTTAAAATCACATTTTTAAAATCCACCCAATAGAATCCAACTTTGCAAAAATATAATATTTGGAACTAATATGTATTTTCAGACATAACCCTATGCAATGTAATATTTGGAGCACAGTCAATACATTGACCATGTATTGTGATTGAATTAATGTATTAATTTATGATTGAAATATTAATTAAAGTCTAAAAAAGATCACAGGATTACAAAGAATGTTCCTTGGTTTTTATGAGAAATTATTTCTATAGTATGTTAATATGTTGTTCTCTATTGTAAGAAATTATAACTGACTAAAGTAGTTTGTGTGTTCAATTGGCAGAGATATATAGACAGAGGGGTCAGAACCTACACATGGGCTCCAGTCAATGAAACAGATTACAGGTAAGGCAGAGTGACTCCAAATTACCAGGTTTTCTACTTGCAAACTGTAATGCTGTTATCTATTTAGATTGAGTATACCAATTTTAAAAGCATAGGCTCCTGTTTCTATGAGTGAATCTGCTCCTCTCTCTCTCTCACTCACTCTCTCTACATGTACTGTTATATACATATACATACATACATATATATATATATATATATATATAAATATATATATATATATATATATATATATATATATATATATATATATATATATATATATATACATACATACATCTATATATATATATATATATATATATATATATATATATATATATATATATGGTGGGCTATGTATATATATATGCGTGTGTATATACTTATATATATGTGGTGGGCTATACGTTATCTGCGTTCACGTGCTGCGTTAATGCCAGACTTATTGGGCAATAAAAAATATATAATCTATTCCAACAGCTGGGTTGGGAACTGGGTCTACACTAATGATGACTTTCATCTTAATATTTTACCTTGGATGTATATCTGGGGTCAAAAACGAATCAGTCTTCCAAACTGTGTAGGCATACTGTGAAATTACCACATCGATTGTGACTTGCTGACATTGATGAAGCTTTAAGCACAGGTCTATCAGCCAAGTTAACCAATCCCCATGCTCAGTGGATGGCCACAAGCTGCCAGCCCATCAGCACGGCTGATGGGCTCGAACTCGTTCTCCAGGGGGGCCATAGGTGACCCATCTGACAAATTACCTTCAAGGCGAACTATCATGAGGAAAATACATGACCAGCATGCCGCAGAGAAAACCAGGTTGATCGAGGCGATGTGTTTGTCGGATTTTTGGAGACACTATATTGTTAAAGTGGAACATCTATAAATGGAAGTGGGACACACTATGTTTTATACAGCAAAAACAGTAACAAATTAGCAAAAAAAAGTATTCCTAACTTTCTCAAAATCTTAAGTAAGAAGAAATTACGTGTGATTTTGCAAACATAAAAAAAGTAAGCCTTTTCTTTTAAATTCTTGAGGTAGCACCCATATATCTTGAATGCCTTTGGCAGAATTCAAATAAGCAATTTTATTCTAGATTAATCTAAATTCATTCTAAGATTCTTCTGTTCTGACTCTTGAAGGAAGTGGTTGCAATTTCCTGCTGCTCCTGCACCTTCCTGCCCTATCCCTGCTTTGCTGTGTATTGTCTTTTCTGAGCTCTCTCTTCATATCGCCCGAACCCAAAAAAATGGATCTGGTCAGCTGGTTCGCTCAGTTCAATTGATAAAATTTTCTCAACTGGAAGACAGGGAAAAGGGAACCTTTCCTGTCCTGCTCGGACATGCTTCGTGGGATACACCATGGACTCCTGGAAGGCTTGGAGGATGGTGTGTTTCACAATGTTTTCAGTGGAGGATATCAAAGCTCTATGGATCTTTGGTTCTATGATACTCTGATTTCTCCTTTTGGCCTTTGGAGGATACCTGATGTATCTACAATTACAAAGGATGTCGGGGGCAATTTGGGAATTGATCAGGCTGCCGCCAGCGGTTGACACCCTCACAAAGATCGGGAGATGAGCTGCATGCTGGGCGCGATTGAATGCAGGCTGGCTGCGGTGGTTGAATACAAAGGTGAGATGGGATCATATCTTGGATGTGCATGCTCGCTTCAAGGCGGAAAAGCTCAACAAATTTGGAATATTAGACTCGCCACGTACAGCCAGCAAGAAAAGACTCAAGGCTGATGGAAAATTCCTGGGCAGCCTGCTCTCTAAACAATAAGTGTTATTCTGGATTCAGCCTCCCCCCTTTATCTGATCCCTTCTAGATGTTGTGGCAAAAGGGCACAGAAGAACTTCTCCCCCACTCTCATACCCGCGAACATCTGTGGATGCGACCAGAACTGTTGATAAACTTCCATCTCATCAAGGACAATTGCCTGTGGTCAGCCTTCACGTACATATTGAATGCACTCATCATACACACACAACAAATTCTCAAATGTCAGACTGACTTCATGTGACTCTGCCTCTGATGATACCCTCTCCTAAAATGTCTGTCTCATGTTACATGTGCTTTTCCTGTGCTGAGGTTTTTTGATATCTCAAACTGTATCCTGTCAAGGATAAAGTGTGAAATATGCAATTTTTCCACCGTCTTTTCCCCAATGTGGCTCCTATCTTTCCACAGTGATAAAGGCAGCACTATAGGTAACCGTCTGGGGCCTGGAAAGCCAGGTAACCGGTGGGAACGTGGCAAGCCATAAGAACGCGCCTAAGGCAGCGTTCTGCGGCACACTTGACCTCAGTAAATCCGTTCCCCCACTCAGCCCCCCCACCACAATGTATGTGATGTGTTGCGATGAGTGGTTTGTACTGAAACTGAAATCTCAATTGCAATGTAAATTGTATTTAACAATAAAGATTGATTCATTGATTGATTACAGTGAGATTATTCTAGGTTAAAGAAATTAATCTATGACCACCACTAATACACTAATACGTACATATATATACACACACACAAACTTTATATATATATATATATATATATATATATATATATATATATGTATATATATATATATATATATATATATATATATATATATATATATATATATATATATATATTAGGGACTGGACGATTTATGAAAACCGTCAAAATCGTTCGGTTCGACTGTCTCGGTTCGGTTCGCGTGTGTTTCGTTCGGTTCATGCGCTGCTCCTTTTTCTCATAGAGGAAGCGATTACACTCCAGAGCAGAAGGTGGCGGTATTGCGACTAAAGCCAACCACCAGTAGTAAACAAGAAGAAGAAGAAGTGAAGCAGCTTAGCCGGGTGTAGCAGGGGAAAAAAATCAGTTGTTGTGGAGAATTGCGTCGGACTGGCGAGTGGGAAAGAACAGGAGTTGGAAGACGCGCCAGCAGCACTTTATAGGTCTGCTGTATGGGAGCGTTTTGCATTTAGAGTGACCTACGATGACGGCCGAAAGAAAGTTGTGGATAAAAGTGCAACACTGTGCAAGCATTGTTCAACACGTTTTGTTTATGCTAATAGCAACATGTCATGCTAACCCCGAAATCCCTCATACTCCGTCAGCAACCCCCGCTCCGCCCCGCTGCGCTCCAGACCGCCTGCTCAAAGCAAAGCCTACAGCCCCCACTGTGGCTTTGTCTGCTCCCCTCTGAGTCCCTTGGAGATGGTAGAGAGCATGCGCCAGATGATTAAATTCAAAGCAGCAAAACATACGGAAATGATCCAGGGTTTCTGCGGATCATTTAAAATAATTACAATCCATTATTTTTTGGGGGATTTTTTCATTAATTTCATACATTTTTATGGGATTTCGGTGTAACAATCAACATGTATCGAATCGAACCGAAAACCGTGACCAGAAACCGTGAATCGAACCGAACCGTGGATTTTGTGAACCGTTCCACCCCTAATATATATATATATATATATATATGCACACACATATAATTATGTCTGTGTGATAATGTAAGGTAATTGAAGTTGAACTGTGATCTTTTTTCTGCAGCCTGGCTCTTGTTTTACCTAAATATAGTGAAAACTTCATTCAAGCTAAACTTGGGGATGATATAAAACAAGCCATCTGTGAGTATGAGAATCACACAAACAGGTTAATAATTTTAAGCCTGGTTGTTTTTCAACTGATACCACTGCAATTTGTTGTTCTCTTGGGTGTCTTCAAACTTTAGCTCTAGCAGCAGCCACAGCCACTCCTTTATATTTTCAGATCAGATTTCTGAAGTCCCACTGTGCCTTTCTTTTGTAGTTTAACCCACAGGTCATTGAATCTTTGTTCCTCGCAAACTCCTCAACATGCCTTTTCCCTCATGTACCCAACTTAAACATTAAACCTTGTGATCTTGTCTGCATTAGTTAATTCTATTCCTCCTTACATCCTGCATCTGGATCTCCTTGGACTTGGGGAGTATCAGAAAATGTTCCTCACTTTGTCATTTACCATTATGTCTATATTACCAAATGAGTCTCAGACGTCACAATAGCATGACTTTTCTTTCTTAATTTTGACCCAAAAATTGATCTATTTTAAGCCCTCACCTTAACTTGGTTTGCCAGTCTTTTTTAGTGTATTATGTATAAAACACTCCTCTCCTTATCCTTGTTATTCTCAACAATTCAAGCATTTTCTTAATCTCTTTATTTTTTATCTTTGCTTTTAACATCTGAGACAGGCTGATATAGTAATGTTGTCTTGTAAAAGTTAAAAAAAATAATAAATACGGTAAGAGGATGGAGGAATATCATGGAAATGTACATATTATGTAGGTCCATCTGTACCTCCTACACGTATGATTATATTGTTTGTCTTTTTCTTTTTTATCACTGAACCATTTTCTCTGGCCTTCTTTTATGCTGGAATTTTAAAGCTTCACCTTGGGGCAAGTACTCTCTTTTCTATTTCTTCAATCATCTCTCTACTATGTAATTCCCTGCATGAGCCCTGTTTGTATTTATTATTCATGTTTGTTTGGTTCCATGTCACTCACACAGTGGGATGCCAAAACCTGAAGGGAAGATGTGTTTATGCAACTGTGCAAGCCAAAATTATTTTTTTTATTTGTAAATTGTTAAATCTAAGCTTATCTTTCAAAATAGTATTATGTAAGTTTTTACCCAAGTATTCGCTTTATTTGAGATATATTAAATTATTTCCAGGTTAATATACAGCACTTGGCTCATTGCTCAATGCTCTGTGCAGGCTGCCTTTCTGAATAAGTTGCCTGTTTAACTTGAATCTGTTGCTGAATAAGTAATACGACCTAGAGCGCCACTTTACGGCAGTCTGAGCTCCCCTTAAAGGTTGTCATTGGGCAATTTTTTGGCTCTCTGATGCAGGATTTGAGCTAGAATCTAGCCTCATCTTTATGAATAACTCCATGACTTCTCAGTCTGCTGGTCCATTGTGGTCTCCTAACAAAACATGGAAGAAAACTGTTTCATTTTGTGACTACAGTGTTGCTAGTTGCCTTGCCCATAGATAGCTTGAGATAGGCACCAGCAGCCCTTGCAACCCTGCTTGGGCTAAGCGTGAAAGAAAATGGATAGATACAGTTCTAGCTACTGGAGTGGTTAAATGTTACACAGTGCTGTTTTAACATACTGTATACAATGCAAGAAAATTCAGTTAAGAAAATACACTTTTGATACACAGTTTTAAATTTTTCAAATTATTTTCATTCAGATTATTGGTCTGGTTAGGGTCAGAATCCACTTAATGGTCATTTTCTTTTAAAGGAAAAATGTTCTTCATTTTTCTGCCATATTACATTACAACTAGCCTTGTTTGTCTCCAAATACTTGTTAATTTTTTACTTTAAATAATAGCAGTTTTAAAGTGCCTGACAACTAGTTAATAAGTAAATGCCTTCTAATTGCTTATGTAAGAAGGCAACGTGCTGTCTTTTGAATTAATAATTTAAATGACCTAGATTAGTTTAGTTTGTATTTGGTTAGATGGATGGTTGGATTACTTAATAAAGGCAACTCATTATTGAACAAAAAATAAAAGGAGGAATGTTACTTTGATCAAAGATGTAAGAAAAGGAATCCAAATTCAAAATGCCATGATCTGTCTTCAATGGAATTTTCATAACTCCGACATGACGCCACAGTGTATAAACAACTAATAGTGCAGCAATTCCATCAAATGAATTTTTTTTAGTGATGGTTAGTTTCAGTCTCTATTTCATTTCTCCTCTGCAGAGTCGGTCACTGTGCCATAAACGCTGTCAGCACATTTACAGGCCTGTTAAAAAAAGCAACACACCATGCCTTACAGCTGCAGACTTCTCTGATGGTGATTTGGGAGTCTAAAGTTCTGTGTTCAGCCATATAGGGTTTCAATTTGGAGCCAGACCACCTAAAGCTCCATCTATCTATCGGTTCCTTGCAATAGGTGATTTCTGCAGCCACTTGCTATACTAATATATACACTGGTAAGAGTCTTTTGACAGGGTGTAATGATTGAACATATTTTTTTCATAAGAGCCCTTGTATGTGTAGAATAAATTTCCTAATGCCTTGGTTGAAGATATGATGACAGATTTTAAAGAAAGCAAGAAAAAAAGAAGAAAAAATGGAAAGCTCTATGGAAAGCCATTAAACATGGACTTTCTGCTTAGTCTATAGAGACTGAGTGACAATGAATCTGCTTGTTATGTTTTATATGAAAGAGGTTGTTTCATCCTGCACCAGATTTCCTAGACCCCAAGGAAAGTGAGTGCTCGGTAATTGCTTTCACAGACCACACCACATGAGTCAATATATTTTAAAGGCATTGTCCAAAAGTCTTCCTTTTAAGAGAGTAGAGATTGATGACTATTGATGTCTGTCAAGTCATTTATGAGATAAGAAAAACAAGATGGCATTTTATTGGAGATACGGAGTTCAGGGAGAGAAAAGTTTTGGACTTCTACCTTTCACTTTATTGTTTTTGCATAAACATGATCTTTGATTATATTGGTTTTGCTTCAAAACCTACACAGGACAGTCTTTTTATGCATTTACTCACATTATGAACATGTTCTCATGATAGACTGTATCTAACTGTCTGTAAAACATAATTTTGTCAAATGCAAATGTATTTTACCACTCTTTGTCCTTGCTCTTTTGCCTCTCCCTGGTTCTTTATCCCTCGGTTCACAACAGGGGAGGAAGGTAAGTGTTCCTCAGTAACTTACTCTTATATTTCTTTTCTTTTGCTTCTCACTCTCTCTCTTTAACTTATTAATAAATATCATTCCAGGATGTTTCATTTGTTTCATAACTATGAATCTGTGATGGAAACTTTATTTGCTGTGTCTATTTACGTGGCCTAATCTTTTGATTACTAAAATAACCTCTTTATCCTTTTGCCATTTATTTCAACAACTCAAATGTACACTGATCACCAATGACATTAGAAACACCAATATCAAACTGGCATTATGGACTTTGAGGTGATTTGACTTCAGTAGCATGTGTGGTTGGTCAAGCTTTATCTAAAATTCAGTAAACATTCCTTAAAATGTTTTATTTAAAATGTTGTATTTGCCCTTAATTTGAGCAGGGAAATACAATGATCTGCCAGGGGAATGAGTATTCTTTCGCTCAAAATAAGATGATTTGGTATTATGCACTTAAAATAAGATAAATAAGTTATTTTTCCTCATTTTAAACTTGTATAATCTTATTACATTGGCAGATTGTCATACTTTTCTGCTCAAATCAATTGAGAATAAACAAATAATTTTTTTTAATACATTTATATTTCAGTATTCCCCTAGTTGTGGAAATTTAGAAAGACCTTTTGACCAAACAGTTATGGTTTATGGATGAAACCAGAGTACATTGAGAGAACCCACAGTGAGAATGCCGGATTTCCAGAGGTGTACAGTAGTAGTGGTAAACAAAGTAAACTACATTTACCTTGTTACTGTGCTTAAGTTATTTTTTTTTGAGGATCTGTACGTACTTATTTTTAATCAGGACTTTTACAACAGAATAGAATAGAGTAGAAAATCATTTTATTGTCCCACAATTGGGAAATGTTGGTGTTTACAGCAGCAAAAAGATTATAGAAAAAGTTGTCACACAAATATGGACCTTAAAACATTTATAAGAATAACATAACAGTGAAGAGTTAAAAGATAAAGAGTAAAATACTTTACTGTAATGTGTTTTGACAATATAAAAGCTGTGCACCTAGAGGATAAATAACCAATATACAACTATGGAAATTTTTACAGTAATGGATATATGAAAATAGCAGCAACATCAGAGATGTCCAAAATGACAGCAGCATGTCATTTAACCGACTATGGTAGAAACAGTGCAAATTCAGCATGAATTTAACAACTTATTGAGATTTTTGGGAACAGTGGTGGTTATAGTGTCTTACAGCTGCTGGGGGGAAGGATCTGTGATAACACTCTTTGGTGCATTTAGGATGCAGCAGTCTGTCACTGAAGGAGCTCTCCAGTACTGCAACAGCTTCAGGAATTTTACTTACATTTCATTACGTTTCATTATTCAGCTACAAATTAAAATATTTACAGAATGTACAGTATCACAAAAGGATTGTTTATATGGAATCTGCGTGTAAACAAGAGAAGAACAACTGTGCTCTGTTTGTTCTGGTCCATATATCGTACTGATCAGTGATGCATTGTTTTTGCCAAGCTTTTAAGGTTACTTTTTAGTATTCCTATTTAAAAAATAGAATTTTTAATTTATTTTATTTTTTCCTAGGTGGGGGAATTATTTATACTGATACATTTCCTTCTAAATATTGTCCTAAAAGCTGCTAAACCAAAGTTACCACTTTACCGTTCTGCATTAGTGGTTGTAAAATGTAGTGAAATTTATCTTGTTTTGCTTGTATATTATTTAGACACAACACTTTTTTTTCCTTTCTCTAAGACAGAGTGGACATATTTATATCTCACAGAAAGTACTTTTCTCATGCAGACAGTACAGTGGATGTATGTCCTTTATTAGGTTATTCTAAGTTCTTATGGACAGAAATGTTTGAATACCATATTTTCTTAAGGCTAAAGTGAGTTTTCAGCAAGTTGTACAAGTTGATGTTTTGTTTTTGTAAAAATAAGTAAAGGGATCAATACAAAACAGTTTGTTTTGCTTCTTTTTATATACAAAGATTACCATAACTTCCCCAATTATTGTGAACAATTTTCTAACTTACTTAAGAACTTTTCCATTAGTACTTCCAGTTGTACCACGGTAATTTTCAATTAAGGTATTTTTACTTTCAATTTCTTATATTTTTTTATACATTATACATCACTGGCAATTTCAGTACAAAACAACCCCAGGACCTTCTTGTTGCAAGGCAACAGTGAGAACAAAGATCCCGCTTTCTGTAGCTTAGATAAAATTTAGACCAATGCCTGTCAATAACTGTGTGATGAATATGAAAGAATGTTTAACATTCATGCTGAATGTTGCAGTCTCTATATTTTGACGCACAAATAATAAGAAACTTAATTCTCTTTATTCTAAACAGATGAGCTGCTGTTTTTAAAAGCCACACATACTAACACATGCAAACATGACAAAGACGGTTAAATGTTTTATTTGAAATGTCTTATTTATGAGGTGGAAATATCAAGAATACAGTTCTTTCTCATGGGAACACTTAATGCTTCATAAAAACTTAAGTAGATAATCTTAGGTCCATCCTATCACAGCATACATCACTGTAACAACCGCACCCATTTCAAAGTGTAAGCCAATCCCCCCATAGTTTTCAGACACTGCTCCAGACAAAGGTCATCTGATGATGGACCAAAAACAAACCTTAAATATTCCAGACAAGGCCTACAAGACAAGAATGTTGGCAGTTTTCTTTTTTTGCATCCCTGAGACAAGAAAAAACATATTCTTGTGGATTATTTATGGCCTTAATCATCTTTAAAACACACCTCCTATGAGAAGTTTGTAATAATCACAAACATGTATCAGTGACTGTCTTTGATTTTGTTGAAATAGAGTTTCACAATTTTATATTCTGTACAACTATGGCTTGAGTGTGATTTCTCTGTGACACAGTCATTTTTTAAGATTTTATTTTTAAAATATATGATGTCTGATTCCAGAGTGGGAGTTTCACAAACACATTTTCAGAAAAATGTTTCACAAAAAAAAAAAAAAGTTAAAGCGTCCTGCAAATGTTTTTTTAATGATTATAATTTTATGGGAATTCAGCTAATGTGTGTTTCTCTGTTTACCGTGTTTGTTGGTGTGCAAGCATTTATGTGGTCTAAATCGCACTTATGAGGCAAAAACTGGATCTTTCTATTTCCAAAAGCTATAGAGACTATCCAGCTGGAGAAGTTTGACAATTTTGGTTACACCTACATAGCTCCAAGGTGAGTATACGTTACATTACTTTCATTGAAAAGATATTAGGAAAACAGACAGGGAACATTTAAACTGAAACATATTTCTTCAGGGAATACTGCAAAGAGTTGAAGCTGTCACTCAACAACACCCAGTTTCTACTCGACTTCCACCAGTACATTGATAAAAGTACTGCAGATGCATGTGAGTCATGCATCTCTTTCATTGCAAACTCAGTTGCCACCTTAGCAGTTTTGTTAGTTTCATGTATTGTTTGTTCTCAGTTTGTATTTTAGAGACAATTTTTTTTACCCCTGAAAGATTACAGTTTGTTGCAGTCTGCCATTAAAATTGCAGAATTCAACAAATATGGTGGTACATAAATAGTAAATGCATGGCTTCTTTTAGTATGTAATATGGCATTGATATAATCATCTTTATTTAGATATTATGATCTCAGGTTCTTTACAGGATGGATTCAGATTAATAGACTGAGATTCCTAGAAGTACAATGCAGTCATGCAGTACAATGACTCATGCTTTTTTAATGTGGCCTTCTAATGGATTAGCCCTCCAGTATGGTTTATCAGTATCCTAAAAATGGATTGCTAAATCCATCATCCATTTTAGTGCAGTCATATCAAACAATTTGAAATTGATGCTCTTTTTTAATTCTGATATTTTGACTTTTTAATAAAAGATTACTAGCATTTCTTAAAGCCACACAGTAGAGTTGCTGTATTGAAATGGTGTTGTAACTTTAAAGGTGCTGGCTCAGATGATGTCATTTCAGAAAGTATATCCCTCGACAAGAACGCTGAAACCCAATCCCTTGCCATCATCTGCCTCCCAACAGCCAGTCCTTCACAAAGCTTTGTCTGATCACTAACATACACTATATTGCCAAAAGTATTTGCTCACCCATCCAAATTATTGGAATCAGGTGTTCCAATCACTTCCATGGCCACAGGTGTATAAATTCAAGCACCTAGGCATGCAGACTGTTTTTACAAACATTTGTGAAAGAATGGGTCGCTCTCAGGAGCTCAGTGAATTCCAGCGTGGAACTGTGATAGGATGCCACCTGTGCAACAAATCCAGTCGTGAAATTTCCTCGCTCCTAAATATTCCACAGTCAACTGTCAGCTGTATTATAAGAAAATGGAAGTGTTTGGGAACGACAGCAACTCAGCCACGAAGTGGTAGGCCACGTAAACTGACGGAGCGGGGTCAGCGGATGCTGACGCGCATAGTGCGAAGAGGTCGCCAACTTTCTGCAGAGTCAATCACTACAGACCTCCAAACTTCATGTGGCCTTCAGATTAGCTCAAGAACAGTGCGCAGAGAGCTTCATGGAATGGGTTTCCATGGTCGAGCAGCTGCATCCAAGCCATACATCACCAAGTGCAATGCAAAGCGTCGGATGCGGTGGTGTAAAGCACGCCGCCACTGGACTCTAGAGCAGTGGAGACGCGTTCTCTGGAGTGACGAATCGCGCTTCTCCATCTGGCAATCTGATGGACGGGTCTGGGTTTGGCGGTTGCCAGGAGAACGGTACTTGTCTGACTGCATTGTGCCAAGTGTAAAGTTTGGTGGAGGGGGGATTATGGTGTGGGGTTGTTTTTCAGGAGCTGGGCTTGGCCCCTTAGTTCCAGTGAAAGGAACTCTGAATGCTTCAGCATACCAAGACATTTTGGACAATTCCATGCTCCCAACTTTGTGGGAACAGTTTGGAGCTGGCCCCTTCCTCTTCCAACATGACTGTGCACCAGTGCACAAAGCAAGGTCCATAAAGACATGGATGACAGAGTCTGGTGTGGATGAACTTGACTGGCCTGCACAGAGTCCTGACCTCAACCCGATAGAACACCTTTGGAATGAATTAGAGCGGAGACTGAGAGCCAGGCCTTCTCGTCCAACATCAGTGTGCGACCTCACAAATGCGCTTCTGGAAGAATGGTCAAAAATTCCCATAAACACACTCCTAAACCTTGTGGACAGCCTTCCCAGAAGAGTTGAAGCTGTTCTAGCTGCAAAGGGTGGACCGACGTCATATTGAACCCTATGGATTAGGAACGGGATGTCACTTAAGCTCATATGTGAGTCAAGGCAGGTGAGCAAATACTTTTGGCAATATAGTGTATATTGGCCATGCAGGTCACCCTGCTGGATGATTTACTGAAAAATGCCATGACGTAATTTATTTTATTTTTTTTGTATATTAGGGAACAAAAGAGTTGGCAGGTGTTTTTCCCTGACTATTATGTTTTTGTTGTGAATCACTGGTAGTGTACCATTAGCTAATTACCAAATTCAGTGTTCAGCCTACCAGTGGCTTTCAACCTATATTCTTTATTCACAAATTATATATTTGATAAATCATTTTCCATGTAATATGATGTTTTAACATTAGTAATATGTGAAATCTATCTTGTCTTTTATCCACAGGCAATGAGTCACTAGTGAAACGACTCATCCTTGATGCAGGTCTGACAGCTGAACTGGTTAAAGTTTGGAAAGAGCAGTTAGTGTGAGCACCGAACATACCAGCTTTTTTTATGATTTTAGCCATTTAAATATACAGTCTTTCTTACTTGAAAAAAACATGAACAGTATTGTTTAAATGAAAGTGATATCTTTGGTATATCGTTCTATGCTACATTTGCACATTCTTTCTCTGAACTTTAAGAGTTGATGCTTGTTTGATGCTCCGTTTAATGGCAAGCAAAAGCAAAGTTTAAGCTTTTTCTTCTCTATTATGGATGATTTGGTCTAATCTCTCTAGTGAAACATGATGAAAGCATAGCATAAAAGGCATATTACACCCAGCATACCGAACTTAGCCCAGGCCTGCTATTTTGAGAAGAAAACAAAGTAATCACATCAGTGTGTTCCCTTTTATTGTGTGCCCATATGTCTGAAATAATCTCTAACACGTTTACACACTCTAAAGGGTGTCTGTTCATCATTAGAGCATACAAAACCAACAATTGACCAAGCTTAAACATAAACATATATGGTTTAACTTCAAAAGATTATTAACTTGTTTTTGCAAAAGGTGGTGTCATTAACTTTCACGTTATTTTGTGTTGGGCTCTGTTTTTAGGGATGGAACGGTGGCAAGGTTTGTCGCAACAGATGGAGGAATCACTAGAGTTTTTCCAAGAAGGTATTCTTCTATTTTTATTTTTTTTTATCCTCACTTAGAGTGTATTCCTGCATGTACTCATATTGGAATATAATCATTAAAAACAAAAACAAAGTAAGGGGTACATACAGTTGGAAATCACAAAAGTCACAGGTAGTTGCTCTCACTCAGGAACAGCATGTTTGTGGTTTTTTTCTTGCCTTTCACATCTCTGATGACTAGCAATATGGGAAATTTGTAAATTAAACTACTATGTACAGTGTTCTTAACCAAATGCAACTTTTAAACATCAGTTGATCCTTTAGATCAGGGTCTAAAACTCAGGAAATCAAGGGGACATCATTCTGCAACTTTTAGCTGTGTCCTTTGCAGTTGCAAAGATATAAAAAAGTAATATAACAATATGAAAAATTCAAGTGAATACATCTCAATAATTAAGATTATAATAAAAATAATCACAATAAAATAATTTATAACAAAATGAAAGAAAGACTCGCTAAACCTAAACTAACAAGGTTTTAAGAGCACAGTCATATAGAGATAAAAAAAAAAAAAAACTTTTGTATTGAGTCCAATGTACCCCACTTGTAACTACATTTAAAAAGTAAAATCACAGAGTTTGACAGCAATTTATTCTATATTTATTTATTTATTTTCTATGGTAAGTTAATTATTATTACTGCATATTGTGAAGCCATAGCTGACTGCCTCTTACCAAAAGAAGTCAGCAGTCATATTTTATGCACGCAAATAAAATTAATTAATCGTGGTAACCAGCAAGTTGTAGTGTGACTGTAACTAGCTAGCTATAATTCCAAAACAAAAAATCCTTTAGTGGCTTCAACTGGATAGGAGCTGAAAATTCGTCCAATCAGATCCATCAGAATACAAACTCCCCCCCGACAGACAGAAACGCCCCTAAACAGATCGAGGGACCGTAATTTTTCTACAGGAGCACATAGATGGGTAGAGGGGTCGGGATTTGCTGCATTGCGGCTGTGCTGCATTCAACAGCGCTCTAATAACCATACACACCTGCGATAACAGCTATGCTCTCGGTTATTAAATGCATGGCTATGATTAATAATTGCACTATTCTGATGCCTAACATGCTATTGTGATTTTTGGCAGAAATTTGACACCATAATCTTTATACTGAAGCAGACGCTCAGTGTTCTTCCTTTATAGCAATTTCATGCTGTAGTAAAAACAACTAGTGATCAGCACTGAAAGATGACTAAATTACCTATGGCTCATTAGTATTAAAACAAAACTACTACAGAAGTCGAATTCATTACATACTGTAGGTTGGAAAAAAAGTGATATAAAATTAGGACTCCTGTTGGATTGATGAATGAGGATATGAACTAGCATATCCTAGTTGGCCATATTCTTTAGGTTGCCTTGTTGGAACTAGGTTAAATCACATGGTTTTAGGATTTCTTTACTTTGTTGTTTAATAAATTTTGCAGTTTGCTGATTTCTTAGAGGTTTCTTTCTGTATTGATATGAAGCATTGTGCCAGGTTTTTCAGTTTCACATCTAGGATACAAATAGTCTACACCATTCCCAAGTTCATCTATTTGATTGAAATTTGATGAGGCTATTTCGGTCAATAACAATCATCTATGTTCAAAGAATTTTAATCGGAATACTTGACCATTGTTGTATGATACATTAAGACCCATATATCCTCTGCGTTTAATACACAGATGCCTATGGATGTACCTTATGCTTCATTTTTTTATGTTTATTTCATGCATATTTTAGTCTGTCTTTATCGAATTTGCAGATGCCTAGCCAGAGGCAAGAAATAACAAATTATCAACTTCTTTTATAAGAGTAGTTTATTTTTTTCGGCTAGTTTTCCTTAATTCAAAGAGATAGGTGTGCATTAGTCGCAGACCTTCAACGCTTTCTGAAAAGCATAGACCAGCCTAATACCAAAAACCCTGTATCTACAAAATCTTGTATCCCTTGTTCTTCCCAATTCTCATGGTCAACTTTTTACTACAACAGCCACGTCTGGTACCTAAATTCAGTGAGTTGCTGCAATGTGGTTGGCAGATATGGTACTACAGTATGTTAGTATGCAATTTAGTATTTGTATTAGTATGCAATTTAGTATTTGTAATAAAGTGTCCTTTGAGTGTAAACTTCAAATTTTAAACAGAAATATAATAATAACTTAAACAGGAATCTAGGTAAAATACTCTTTGAGATGTATTTACATTAAATTCACCATTGTTGGCACAACATATGTTTACAGTGCTGGAGAAGAATGGACAGAGAATCCTGAGACATATGAGTCCAGCTTCTACAAAAGGACTTTGGACAATGAAATATATATATTCACAGCCCCATCTTTCAACGGTAAGTCTGCATGTATTAGGATCGCAAACAAGATCTTGTGTAATGGGGATTTGCTTCACTGCCTTTGGACGTGATCCAACCATTACTGGCAACTATTGGACTGTTTGGCCTCTTATTTCGTTCGCTTTATCCTTGTGCTTTTCCTGCTGGGTTTTTCAGGGCACCCCCTCCCCATACCCCCTTCCTCTGTATACATCCTGTCATCCCCCACTGATCTTTCTAACAGACATCAGCACTGGCAAATGTCAGTGAAACAGCTTCGGTACACTCGACTGGATTACCACATGTTCTGTTTTCATAGAGTTCACTCATAAATTGCTGACGGAAAATGAATGGAATTTTTAACAAAAGCGTCCAGTGTTCATTCTTTTAATTGTTTTGCCCTGGGAAAAAATTGTCACATGTCATACATTTATTTAGATTATCTGAAATATATATATAAACATTTGTATTTTTATTTTGTGTAACTGTGTGAAACTGCAGCAGAGTTCAGGGAGCCTATATCTGAATCCGGGATCTTGGTGAGCAAAGCCATAGACCTTTTCATCGACGATGTCATGCTTAAACCAGCAGGTCAGTTTTGTAAAATAATTGTGGTTGATTTCTAATGTAACACAAAATTAAAACCGTTTTTGTATTTCCTGGTTTGGTCTATAGTGGTGGGAATAAAACTCAATGTCTCCTTCTGGATGAGCAGTTTTATCAATGCAACTCTGAAATTTAACGTAAGTAATGTAATTTTTTTCAATATTTTATATTTACGGTACTTGAGATGTATCTGTTGCTGTCTGCTTAAAAACCGCTGTCTTCTTTGCTTGTAGTGTAAGGATGAGATTTGTGGCTGTCTCAGGAATGACAAGGTGCATCAGTTCTCTATGAATCGAGCAAACAATTAGTGTATTAAACATAGCATCCATTAATCTGAGTATTAGGTGTCCAGTTTTCATTTAACCATTTATATTTTTCTCTTTTGCAGCATGTGGACTGTGTAATATTGGATGATGGAGGCTTTCTTCTCATGTCAAATCAAGAGGAGTATATTTCCCTGGTGAATCCCATCTAACACTATCTTTAGCTCACTTAGATTTGTTTTAGGTTATTTATTTCTTAGTTTATTTAGCCCCAATTTATTTTATCTCTACCTATATTAAATATGAAAATTAAATATTTGATTTTGTGGTCAGCATTTCCCAAAGTTTCCTTTAATGCAATGTGTTTTTCTGTGTAGAACCAAACATTATTGTGTCAGAACTGACTGCGGTTACTACATTGTTGTAGGTGGGAGAGGGAGGAACCTTTAAGAGCATTTCAGAAATTTTTCACCTTAGGGCTTGGAAAGTCAGAAAATTCAAGTCAGAAAGAACTGTGATCATGATCTTACCACTGAAACATTGGGGAAATTTTTTTTTTATTATAGCTTGTTATGTTGGAATTTATTTGCTGTAATTCTATGGTTAAACGTATTTTTTTCTTATCTTAGCTAAACCTGTCATAGCTAATCATATGTTAGGATACATCCCAATAGAGCTGAACAATATATACAGACAGAAAAGTTTGAGCGTAAAGTTGAAATCAGGGAAGAGCCAGGGAAGCTGTAATAGGTATTGTAATATCTATGCTGCACCAGTAAGTGTACTGGTATATATACACTGAATTACAGAAAGTGTTTACTCACCGGCCTTGGCCAACATATGTGGTTAAGTGACATCCCATTCCAAATTCATAGGGGTTGAATAAGACGTTGGTCCACGCTTTTTAGCTACAACAGCTTCAACTACTGTGAGATGGCTTTCCACAAGGTTTAGGTGTGTGTTCATGGGAATGTTCAACCATTCTTCCTGAAGCGCATTTTTAGGGTAACACAGTAATCTTGGATGGGACTGTCTGGTCCTCATTCTCCACTCTAATTCATCCCAAACTTGTTTTATTGGCTTGAAGTCAGGACTGTCAAATTCATCCATGCCAGACTTTACCATCCATGTCTTTACTGACCTTGCTTCGTGCTCTTGTGGACAGTCATGTTTGAAGAGAAAGGCGCCAGCTCCAAACTGAGTGCACTGTCCAAAAAGTCTTTGTATGCTTAAACATTTAGAGTTCATTTCACTGGAGCTAGGGCCAAACACAGCTCCTGAAAAACAGTCCCACTACATCATTCCTTCTCTACCACACATGGCACAGTCAGACAATTATCGATCTCCTTGCAACTGCCATACCCAGACTTGTCCATCACTGCTCTGGGAGCTATGGATGCAATGGCTTTAAACCGCTGTATCAAACTCTTTGCATTACAATTGGTGATGTATAGCTTGGATATAGATGCAGTTATTAAGGTATTTTGAAGGCCATGTGGAGCCACGGACCGCTGCCTCGGTATGTTGGCAGGATCTGTACGCCTCCTGGACACTAAGGCATGCAGGGAAGATTGTGGCTGATTCCTCGCACACTAGCCACAAATTATTTCAGACACTTCCCTCTGGCAGAAGGCTGCGGTCCATCAAGACCAAAACTTCACACAACATGAACAGTTTCTTCCCATCTGCTACCAGCCTTATAATCAAGGCACAGAGATCCCTGTGACACTAACACTGCCTCTCTCCCTTACCGTTCAAGACCTACAAGCTACACCATCGTAGCATCTCCAGACCTCCTGCATTACATTAACGCACAGTCTACTGAGTATATTGTATATAGCTATGTACTATGTGTTGTATATAGTATATTGTATTTTTGATGGGGTATATACTGTAGCTATAGATTCTGTATATATATCTAATTTTTCTGCGCCATCAACACTAAATCAAAATCCTTGCAAGTGCATACCTACTTGGCAGTTAACTTGATTCTGATTCTGAATCTGACTAGAGTTTTGCTCTGTCAGTTTACGTGGCCCCCCACTTTGTGGCTGATTTGCTGTCGTTCCAAAACACTTCCATGTTCTTAAAAAGCAGCGAACAGTTTGGAACATTTAGGAGTAAGGAAATGTAACTATTGGATTTGTTGCACAGGTGGCATCCTATCTATGTTCCTGAGTGACCCATTCTATCACATATGTTTTCCCGTATGGGCACTGTGAGGTCAATTTTACAGGAATACATTTGCCTGTAAGTCCCCTCTACATTGTGGGGACTTAAAGGTTCTTATGGGGAATACATGACTTGTCCCAATGAGGAAAAGTTATTTTCTTGGGTTTGGGGTTAGATTAAGAATTAGTTATAATTTGGTGCTATCCCGGAGTATAGAAAGGGTCTTGGTTAGACTAGCAAAAGGAATGGGAAATGATTAAAGTCAATGCAAATTTCAAAGTCCCCATAAGGAGTATAAAGCATGACTGTGTATGTGTGTTGGCTTTTCAGTTTGTTTTCAGTCTGCTTATTGTTTATGAATTCCTTTCTCTCATCAATACAGTTTTGAATAGGAAAAATGTTTTGGAGAAAATAGAAAACAGCTGCAAGCTTTTTTATGAGCTTCTTACAAACTTACATTTTTTTCTGTGCATGTGTGTATTTTCCCCTGTAAACTCATCTAGATAGGTCAGTTCTTCGGTGAGGTAGATCCAGTGCTGATGATAAACTTAGTCAACACATCCCTATACTCCTTCAAAAAGACATATGACTATCAGTCTGTGTGTGACCCAGAAAAAGACAACAAGGCGGCTGCAGGACTGCGCTCCATATATGTGGTTTGTGAAATAATCTTTACACAGACATTTACATTTTTTGCAACCACCTCTATATGTCCAATTCACTTCCCTTTTCCCTCTCAGCCTACTATTGCCGATTTCCTCAGCATAGGCTGGTGGGCCTCCAGTGCTGCTTGGTGAGTACTTATCATATCTGTTAAGTGGAACTATTTGTGTTTTCATTTGAGAGTGAAGTTATACTTGCTGATATGACTGTATTTAGGAGAAAGATGACTCTGACAGGGGCATGATGAAATTTGGAAAGTCACAAAACATTGCACTGCATTTTTTTTCTGCAAGGCTTTCCAAATGCAGTAGTATGACCTTTTATCACGTAATGGCTAATATTTCCCTTGACATTTACAATTACAACTGAATCTAACTTCTGTTAGATCTTTTGCTTCTTCCTAATAGCTATTGGTGGTAAACAAATTAAAGATGTTCAAAACACGTGGTAACAAATGACAATCTATGATGTTTCAATGTTTTCTATGTATTAGGTCAATACTTCGACAGCTGTTGTTTGGTCTTCTGTTCCCAAACCTTGTAGAAGAGGGTAAGGCCAATAGTTTTTTTTAGCATTTTTGAACTAACATGAAAAAGTGGATCTTCTTGAGAACATTTGTGTCTATTAAGCCCAATTCACAGTAGACTTTAAATTACTCCGTAACTTTGCTTTGTACTAAACCACCTCTAGTTTAAGTCTTGCATTAGAGGGGCAACCAACACTGGCATTTCTTAGGCCTGGGAACATTGGGGTCTGAGCTTTTATTTTATGGTGCATTGTTGCTGGGCTGAAATGTTCTGGGCTGAAATGTTGTGTCCAAACTAATTTTATGGCCTGTGATGTTATTGGTATCTGTGCATCCCTAGCTCCAACTATTGAAATATTATCTGATTGACTCTCAGGTCAATTACAAATAATTTTACCTACTCTCTTCTGATACCTAACAACATGCTAGGTATCATGTTTTTAAGACCCAGATTTATAATGCTTTAAAAAACACAAGATATATTTAGTTCTCCCAGCACCACTAGACACTAATTGCAAATGTGTGTGCTCATTTCGGCTTTGGAACCCTAGTCCTTAGGTTCAAATCAGTTTCCATATGTAATAATATGTAATAGAGCCAAGCAGTGCATTAAATGCATGGTGCAAGTATGTTGATCATAGATAGATTTAAGGCTAAAGCAATTAATAGAGCTAATCATGATTAATTGGTTATTAAATAATTGTTAAGTAATGTAGTAATCGATAATTAATTTACTGCATTATATATAGATTCACATTAGCTGAAAGAACAACCTACGCAGAGCAGTAGTCATGCAGAAATTGTACAAAATAATAAAAATGCTTTGCATTTAAAATGAAAAAATATTTTTTTCCAACATATATTCTACAGAACTTCTCTATAGAATATATGTATCTATACTTTTTAAGGCACATTTTTCTATCTGATTATTAATCAATTAATCATAGAAATAATCAAAATATTAATTGCTTGTCCAAATAATAGTAAATTGCAGCGCTTGTTAGATCATTGCCAGCCATGGTGGTGTTGTGATAAGATGACAACTATAGCTTCAGACTGATGATCAAGTCTTACTGGAGCTCCAGTTTTTAATCACTTTATGAATCCACACCCAATTCACAACACATCTGCATCCTTTTACAGACACAATATAATCAAATCCTTTAAACAAATTAGTTAAAGTTTTAGATTATCCATCGAGTCATTGAATTGGCAGGACCGGTAAACATTGGCTTACAGTTTTTTGTTGACCCTGCAGGAAAATGAATAAAAATAAATAATAACTTAAGGAGGTGTTTTATTTGTTTTTCTTTATTCTTTTTTCTTTTTTTGTATATGCAAGGTTTATGGTTGTCTTATAATCTGCTTACAGTCTCTCTGCAACTACTTTTATTTTCTATTATTATATTATTTATTTGTATTTTCAGTGGAGTCAGCAGACGATGACATACCAGATGCCATGTTCAAAGAAAGCTGCATCACAGAGCAGACTCAGTACTTTTTTGACAATGATGAAAGATCATACTCAGGTGTATTAGACTGCGGAAACTGCTCCAGGTATTTATAAGCTTAATTTATGAAATGTTGGTGCATCAGTACAAATGTTTATTTCCTTATATTTGGTAACTTGGATGGGCTGTGTGGGATTTTCCACATTTTATGCCTCACCTGATATCACAAACCTTGATTGCCAGCCTGATCTTCAACCCAGTCTGTACAACCCAGACTGTATCTTTCACTGATCACACTGACTTAATTTGTTCTGCATCATTCTCACTGTGTCCGTGACTTTGATTTGACCATTTTTAAAACACTACTTTTTTTTCCCTTTTTTTTTTTTTTTTGCTTTAACCGATGGGGGATGGATTTGGTTTGGGGTTAAATGAGGCTATAACTGAATATTATGAATCTCAAGGGTCTGATGCTTTACTCCACAAAGTTAACAACTGTGGCCCTAGAGACATTTTAATAAGTCCCATAAAATATACAGTTTAAATAGTATAGTTCTGTATGAATGCCCGAACTGCATACTTAGTTGCCTGTGTAAAATACAAACTAAAGTTAATAATGCTGGCTATTTATAAAAGTCTGGTGTATGGGACGCTTTGAACAAGTCACTATACAGAGACTTATCCATCTATCTATTTATATAATTTAATTGTTTGGTCTGTGTTTTTTAGAATGTACCGTGCAGAGAAGCTTCCAAACACAAACTTGGTGTTTCTGATCACCGATGCCAAGGCCACATGTTTATCATGTGACCCCAGGCCACTTCGACAAGCCGAGCAACCTTGTATCCTTTCCTTTCAGCTTTTGAAAAAATTAATCAGAGCTCCACTTTTTGTTGGCTTTGCAGTTGAAATACTATCAACTGGATATTGGGGATTTAAATTGTCAATAAAAGAACTTGTATGTAGTCTTTTCCCTGTGACTTTTCAGATGTCAGCAGTTGTCCAGGTTTGAAGCATATGAAATATGGTATCACACTACTCTTGAAACAGCCCTTTGTTTAAATAATGTTAGGCTTTTTGCTTGCAGGATAAATTGGAGTAAATGTTGTTATGCATGTATGCAGTGTGTTTTTAAGACATTATTTGTTTACTTTGGTGTTGATTAATCCATCAAGTGTTTTTTTTTTTTTTGTCAAAATGTAAATCAGCAACTAAGGAAAATTCAATCAGCAGATCTACCGTATACTACCACTGAGCTGAAGTTACACTGACATAAAAAAATGTCATAAAATTTTAATAAATGCTTATTTTTTTCCTGAGTTTGTGTCCAGCTGAAGGACCAAATCCTTGTGAGCTGGCTCAGAACCCAAGATACCGCAAAGGACCTCCTGATTGCTTTGATAATAATCAAAATGTAAGGGACGAACAAATTCTGTAGTTTTGTGCAGAGGAGAATTCTGTATTATGCCATTTAATGAAAAAAAAAAACTATCAAACAAAGGGACAAGGTGGATCAAATCAAATTTAAAATAACTGCATCACAACCCAGCTTGAAACAATTGATTGAACGTCTAAATATTTGGTAAAAAATGTTTCCCACACCTTTGTGAAATCTGCCTTTCATTGTGTTGCAACAATCATACACCCAACAGGCAACTGATTCATGTGTATTCATGTTTATACTATGGAGAGGCCTTCTAAGGAAGCGAAGGGGAAGACAGTAATGGCATAGGAAGTAGAAGAACTTCATAAAAGTGGGTTTGCTATTTTCCATTTTAAACTGTCTTATTCATTTTGGCACAGCACCTCACAGGAAGACAGTTTATGTTGAGGGCCGGTCCATTTTGTCACTGGAGTAAATGGAGGAAGCTTCAAATGGCTTTCCTGCCCTTTGAATAAAAAAGACTGCCTTCTATTTCCTCTGGAATTCAGCCCTGTGCTCATATAAGAAGACACCCAAAATTAAAGAAAAACAATGTAGTTCCAATCCAATTTCATTTCATTAGCACTTTTTGAAGGACCACAGCTAACCAAAGTGCTGTACAGAAGAAAAAATACAAACATCACAGATAAAAGACAAAACAGCTCAAAAATGGATAAAAGTAACATTTTCACTATCAAAGCAATAAAGTATGATAAAAAGATAGAAGATTAAAAAGATAAAATAAAGCCCACTGTCTTTCTAGGTGTCAACAGCCAACGAGGGGAGGTGGGTTTTGACAAGGGATTTAAAAACAGTTCCTTTGTAGTGCTTCACTTTATAGACTACATACTATCCAATAGAACAGTTGAAATATTTAACATTTTGAAAACATTAATATTTTTTTATATTCACAGGAATCAATGTCCTAAATGAATTGCACAATTGATATACGCAGAAATACAGCTTTAAGCTATATTGGGAATTGTGTAAAAACAGAAACTGCACTGTGTGTGTTTAGTTTTTCCCTAAAATGAAAAAAATGTACATTCTATTTATATGTTCTTGCAAAAACTTTAACACACCTCTCGAACTTCCTCCTTTTTCTAGGGTACAATTGCAGATGTCCATAATTGGAAATTTGTGTGAACTGAAAGTGGAACAAAATTTTTAAACAAATACCTAAACAGTATTAATTAGAGAAACATAAATATTGGCTATATATACATGTATCCCATGTGTATCCTTAGGATAAACGTAAATTTTAGTAGTAAAATTTTTTACTGTAGACAGTTCCAAATTCTAATGTAACAAAGTGCTTTATCAAGGGATTTATATTTTTACTTCTTAATATTGTTTATAGCCAAATGTGAAGTTTACATATTGTCACTTGCAAAAATTATTGGATGTTTTTATAAGGGTAACTATAAAGGAGGTGGGATCCAGTACTTTGGTAAGAAAATTTTTTGCGAGGACGCTATTTGTTCTGCAGTAAGTATTTGACCTCTGTGGATTTGAAAATACAACTACTTTTGAAGGAAAACTACAAGAAGTCCATTTTGTGGTTAGTCCTTCGTTTGAGTTGGGGACTCATCAATCATGAAGGAAGTGCTTTGCTCAGAGGAAAAAATATGTTTTTGTGCTTACAGGTGCTGGTCATAAAATTAGAATATCATGAAAAAGTAGATTGATTTCAGTAATTCCATTTAAAAAGTGAAACTTGTATATTATATTCATACATTACATACAAACTCATATATTTCAGATGTTTATTTTGTTTAATTTTGATGATTACAAATGACAACAAATGAAAATCTCAAATTCATCATATCAGAAAATTAGAATATTGTGAAAAGGTTCAAAATTGATGGCCCCTGGTGCCACACTCTAATCAGCTAATTAACTCAAACCACCTGCAAAAGCCTTTAAATGGTCTTTCAGTCTAGTTCTATAGGCTACACAATCATGGGGAAGACTGCTGACTTGACAGTTGTCCAAAAGACGACCATCGACACCTTGCACAAGGAGGGCAAGACACAAAAGGTCATCGCTAAAGAGGCTGGCTGTTCACAGAGCTCAGTGTCCAAGCACATTAATAGAGAGGCGAAGGGAAGGAAAAGATGTGGTCGAAAAAAGTGTACAAGCAAGAGAGATAACCGCACCCTGGAGAGGATTGTGAAACAAAACCCCTTCAAAAATGTGGGGGAGATTCACAAAGAGTGGACTGCAGCTGGAGTGAGTGCTTCAAGAACCACCACACACAGACGTATGAAAGACATGGGTTTCTGCTGTCGCATTCCTTGTGTCAAGCCACTCTTGAACCACAGACAGCGTCAGAAGCGTCTTGCCTGGGCTAAAGAGAAACAGGACTGGACTGCTGGTGAGTGGTCCAAAGTCATGTTCTCTGATGAAAGTAAATTTTGCATTTCCTTTGGAAATCAAGGTCCCAGAGTCTGGAGGAAAAGAAGAGAGGCACTTCATCCACGTTGCTTGAAGTCCAGTGTAAAGTTTCCACAGTCAGTGATGGTTTGGGGTGCCATGTCATCTGCTGGTGTTGGTCCATTGTGTTTTCTGAGGTCCAGGGTCAACGCAGCCACATACCAGGAAGTTTTAGAGCACTTCATGCTTCCTGCAGCTGACCAACTTTTTGGAGATGCAGATTTCATTTTCCAACAGGACTTGGCACCTGCACACAGTGCCAAAGCTACCAGTACCTGGTTGAAGGACCATGGTATCCCTGTTCTTAATTGGCCAGCAAACTCTCCTGACCTTAACCCCATAGAAAATCTATGGGGTATTGTGAAGAAGAAGATGCAATACACCAGACCCAACAATTCAGAAGAGCTAAAAGCCACTATTAGAGCAACCTGGGCTATCATAACACCTGAGCAGTGCCACAGACTGATCGACTCCATGCCACGCCGCATTGCTGCAGTAATACAGGCCAAAGGAGGCCCAACTAAATACTGAGTGCTGTACATTCTCATACTTTTCATGTTCATACTTTTCAGTTGGCTAACATTTCTATAAATCCTTTGTTTTTATTGGTCTTCAGTAATATTCTAATTTTCTGATATGATGAATTTGAGATTTTCATTTGTTGTCATTTGTAATCATCAAAATTAAACAAAATAAACATCTGAAATATATGAGTTTGTATGTAATGTATGAATATAATATACAAGTTTCACTTTTTAAATGGAATTACTGAAATCAATCTACTTTTTCATGATATTCTAATTTTATGACCAGCACCTGTACATGCAAAAACATTATGCTTGCAACATAATGTGCAAATGCTTTTTTAGTAGGGACGGGCAGGGTGGTTAGAGTAGATAATAACATTTTTCCATTTGAAAATTGTCTATAACATGGAACACCAAAGATGCTTTAGATTTTGTGAAAAAATTAGATGTTTGATTTTATATTTCTGTAATCCACTATAGGTCATTGGATAACAGTTTTTGTACTCATGGACCCTCCAAGCCCTCTAAAAGGAAAAATAACTGTTCCAATGTTATTGTCAATAAATATAAAATATGTTGTATTCTACTTCTCACTGACTGATTTGTCTGACAGGAGGATGATTCTGATTGTGGAGGAGGGACCTACCTAAACCCGAGTTTCTGGTCTGTCCTCTGCCTTCAACTACTGCTCTGGCTCACCACATTTTTACAGCAGTCATGACCTCGTTCACAGTTAATCATCACATTTCATGGGAGACCATAAGACATGCACTTGCGCCATACAGGATGTATGCAGAAATGTGCAACATGAGAAAAACAATCTCAGCATTTTCATTTTTCAATGCCAAAGGGTGCTCATCCATTTCCTGCTTATCGTTTTTAAAAGTGGAAACACATTTACTGAAATCAGCTGCAAACCTGTCCATCATCTACGACTTAAATCTCTCTTTGGTGCAAATGTAAGAGCTAACCAAACCCTTTAATTCTGCCTCATTTTTTTTTTTATTTATAAAGTGAAGATGGAAGATGTATTCCACTATGCCAACTGGAAATTAATAAAATCAGCATTGATTTGTGAAGTTATAAACAATGCCTGTTTGGTTGGGGCGAAATGCTGTATAGGGTTCTTCTCAACTACTTCAAATGTTAATATGCTTTTGGTTTAAAAAAAATTAGTATTATTATTTTGATAATTTAGAATAATTATTAGAAATTTTTATAATTTTGTTTGCAGTATGAACTAACCTTTAGTGACTTGCTAGGTGTTTCATTGTAGCAGCATGTGCAGAGTAGAGAGCTTTGGACGACACCAGCACTTTGACACCAAAGCCCCTGGACAGTACCAAGGATCACATCTTTCACAGAGAATGTGCACGCTATTTTTTTTAAGAGATTATTTAAATATGGGAATACAGTTTATCTGTATTTCAGCTACAGATTTAGATATGTACCCTGCACCCTGCGCTGCATCCTGTGCAGGGTCCTTTTTGGTAAATAACCATTTCAAACATGGCTGTGCTTGGACTGACAGCTTTGGGTGTCTTCAGTTTGATGCATTGAATCCCCAGTGCCTACATAGTAGCTCATACATTCTGATATATGAATGAAGCAATGGACCAGAGTTGTATTCTTACCATGTTTGCCTCTAGGTTAATACTGATTTTACTAAGGCTGGGAAGTCAGGCCTGGAAGTGATACTTTATGTAAGGGGTCAAATTCCACTGGTATTATTCTGCTGTTATTCTAACTAATGAGATGCAAACCACAGCTCAAAATACCAATGATTTTGACTACTAGTGAGGGAGAAACAAACCTAAAGCAGACCTGTCTTTGCGTTCAGGAGCCAAGATGACTTGTGAATGAGATCAGCATATCAAAGACTGTTTTATTTGTTTTGTTTTTCTTGCTGTCTTCTCTCTATGCTTGTTTCCTTCGTTGTGTTGCTCTAAAATCTCTGAAGAAGGACCCTGAAGGTTTAGTGTCTAAATGCTGCATTGTGATTGGATGAGCTTGTTTGTGTTTGAACACTGTATTTGCTTGAGTCAGCATCAGGGCCCACTGGAGGGAAACTATCAGAACACATTACTACCAGTGGTAATTTCGTATTGCCTTATTTAGTCACAAAGATCCTACTTGCGTTTCAATCAGTTTTATCTTAAGCTATTTTCCTAAAAGCTTCTAAATCCTCTCTACCTTGCCTTCATGGTGATATCCTGCTGTTGAGTGATCAGGTTATGCTGTCTATCGAAGTTGCGTGTTGACCTGTGTTTTATCCCAGGGGTCCTGTGTCTATGTGCAGGCATGTGCGTGTCCCTCTGAATTCTGATTGTGCTTTAATACTATATATAACAATACTCTTTTGTGGAACTTCACTAGCCTGAATACGTTTTGTATACATTTGTACACTAATACTATTTAATGTATAAAAGAAAAAAATCATGCAAAACAAAATGTTTATAATATGGTGTTGATTATTGTGCAAATATATATTCACAATAAAAGTGTTGTATTGTTATGCCTAAGATTCTACCATTTTTCCCAACACATGTTGATTTGCTCCTGTAGGAATCTGACCGAAACATCCTACTTGCTGGAAAAGGAAAACATCTGGACATCTGCTCCACTATTAGCGCATACATAAAATTACCATAATTTCCTTAATGCCTAATTTTATCTTTTTGTCCTTCAATAATATCAAGTTGAGTTGCAGCATTGTCTACACAGTCTGAACAAAGAGCAGCTAAGAAAATGTATATACTTTTTGTATTCTTTGAAACTATTGTTTAAGGAAACTATTTTAATTATTTTTTTTGTTAAATGTTTATCAAAGATTTAAACCTTAATTTTATGGGCAAGGATCTGTCAATCCTAAACCTTTCAAATAATTGATCCTTACTTTAAGGACAACACCTCTTGAACAACTGTTGTAAGATATCAAACTTCAACTAATTCCAACCAATGGATGCCTATTTTTTGCACTGTAATGAAACAAATGAAATGTATTTCATTATTGCAAACTACTATGTCATCACAGGCATACTGTAATTGAGTTGGAACCTTTTAATTTCACTGGCAGATGTAGTTTTAGAGTAGTCTTTTCATTTTACCAGGATTTTTTTTTTTTTATCCATTTTGAAGTAATGGACTGGTCTAGCCAAGGCCCTCACTTAAATGATTTGAATCATTGGAGCAAGCTAAAGATTATGGTGATGTCATGGAGACCTTTCCACCTCCAATCAAGACATGAAGTTCGTCATCAATTTGAAAACATATTTCAAATGGGATAGCAATCAAGAAGAGATTGAGTGCTGTATTGCTGATATGATTTTTCCATTAATTGTGATATGAGTATGCATGTTTGGTTTGGATCATTTTTTATAAAATGCAAATAAAATTCACACCAAAATACAAACTCTTTTACAATGTTTCGTTATATTTTTCAGATGCCTGCCTCATTTTGAGAAACAAAGGGTTAGGGTTATAATTCAATCTAAAACTATGAATTAGTTTGCTCTAAATGATCTCAACATTATGAATAAGCAAAGGTATTTATTAGAATTAGAGACATAATCTTTGTGTTACAGCTGTTAAAATAGTATTTCAGATCTAAGAAAGTAAACAAACAATGTTATGCAACTGTGCTTGAAAGAAAGAGTTTAAATTTAGTGTCTGCTTCTTTCGAAAGGCCACATTCATAGTCCGATTATGTCATAGCGTGGTGACATGGCCTGTTTAGATTGGAAGACGCCTCGTCATGTGGCCGACAAATGCAGCCTTCTTTTCACCCATTTTGAAGGACAGGTCTGGTGTATCCTACATAGCCTTGGGTATCCCATGATTCATTGCAAGTCCAAGCAAGCCAGCTGCTACATGCTCAGATGAAACAGAGAAATGGCGCCGAACATTGGTGAATATTGTTAGTGAAGTCTACTATAATAGAAATATCTAAAAAGTTCTGTCTGAAATTAACGAAAATAGTAATTTTAAATGGTTATTGAGTCAGATATGTGGCGAGTAATGTTTGGTTTATTGAGAGGTTTATATCTGTCCCTGGAGAAATGGGTTTGACTGACATTTAAGCACGGATTCCAATATTTGTGGTGTGGGGACAATAAATCTGATAATTGTGGTGACCGTGCTGCTACTGAAGCTCTTCAAAAATGTATTTAGCATACAGAACCATACTGAGAGGTTTCGGTATCCATCAGACATGGGCAATGTGGAGTCAACAATTCATCTCCATGTCATGTATTTAATCTACCCGGCCAATTAACCAGGTGAGTCCAATCTGCACAGGTTAATTCACGGTGACGATTGGACTCACCTGCTTCAGTGGCTGGGTAGAAAAAATACAGGACATGGAGATGACTTGTTGACTCCACATTGCCCATGTCTGGTATCCATTCTTGGCCTACTTTTTGTGTCAACTGTCATGGTTGCTACAGGTGGTGAAAGCCGGAGAAGTCTGGACCTGTTTTAGTCCATTGCCAAACTCTTCCGGCCTCCTTATTTTCACGGACCTCGAAAGACCCAGTCAAATTAGACCGGGTCCTGGAAGGATGCAGCCACTGGAATCGAACACACCCAGTGTGTCACTGGGCTAATAGTTACCCCTTTAACCTCTAGGAAAAACCCATAAATAAAGCGAAATAAACTTAATTGAGCTTTCACAAAAACCAATTAGATGTATGTTCTCCTGTTAAAATTTAGTTATTTATTTGAATAGGGACAAAGCACATTAATGAACATCAGTATAAAAACAAATGTAAATATGCCAGATTATAGCTACAAAGCTAGTTTTCATCCGTAGTCCCTAGGCAGGCAAATACATAAAAAAGAACATATACAATATAAGCATCACAAGGAAATGTTGAGAGTTTAGTGGTCACATGACTGGTTTGTTTTCATCCATAGTTTGAGTTGAGCTCTAAAGCTGATCAGTGTAGGGCTCTCCCGTATGTGCAGGGGAAGACTGTTCTAGATGTTAGTGGCTCACACAGAGAGAGTGTTCTGACCAAAAGTTGTTCTTCTGTGAGGGACCTCACAGTCACCTCTGGAGGAGGCTCTGGTTTTCAGGCCACTTGAAGTCGTAGGTTTGAACAGAGTAGACACAGGAGGTGGGGCTAGTCCATGTAGCGCTTTATAAATGAAGCATACATACTTAAAATTTTCAAAATTTAAAAGATTGTACTTGTTCAAAATATAACATACATGAAAAGAATTGGGATTTTGGTCAAACACTTTAAGATATTTTTTGTACAGTGATTCAATTAATTTAAATTGGTAACTGTGGTGAGAGACCAACTTGTGATGCAGTATTCAATGTGAGATAAAATCATCGAGTGGAGAACCATTCTAGCAGCACCAAGTGTTAAAAAAGACCTGATTTGTTTAAAATTTTTAAGGTTAAATTTGACAGTATTGACCGTTTTTTTTATATGATTTTTAAAGGATAAAGTGGAATTAAGTATCACGCCAAGGTACTTGAATTCTGTGACAAGTTGTAATTCTTCTCCTCTCAAGAATACTCCAGTGCTTTTTTTTTCTTTTGACGGCTTTGAGAAACAGACCGTTTTTTTGAAATTGAGAAGCAAAGATGATTTAAAAAGCCAGTCATTTACTTGCTCCATGGCTGAGGTCAGAATAGAAGCTGCCTCTTTAACACTCCTTGCATGAGTATAAATTACAGCGTCATCTGCATACATTTGAAAATTCACATTATTACATGTTTTGGGAAGATCATTTATGTACATGGAGAATAACAGGGGACCAAGTATTGATCCTTGCGGCACACTGACAGAGACATCCAAGACCGATGATTTTATACTGTCAATTTTTACACATTGTTTTCTTTAGGATAAGTATGACTTAAGCTACTGAATTGCCTCTGGTGAGAAATTGAAGTCTGACAATTTTGTTAGAAGAATTTCATGGTTGACAGTGTCGAAAGCCTTTTTAAGGTCAAGGAACACTGCACCAACACAGGGGTATATATCCAATTTACTTTTCACCTTTTCTATAAAAATGCTGTTTGCTGATTCAGTGGAGTGGTTTACTCTGAAGCCAAATTGCATTGCATGTAGGTGCAATGCAAAACAAGTCAAAGTCAAGTCAAAATGTCTTATTTCTGCTGCCACAGCAAAAAAACAAAAACAAAAAAATCATGGCAACTGTGGTTATTAAAATGAGGAGATTGGACAGAAAGGGTCATCAAACATGCTCTGGTATGCAGCACACACTTTTAAACATGTATTTTTTTGTTGATTTATTTATTGATTGATTTATTTTATTGATCTCACAGTGGAGAAATTTACTTGTTACATCAGCTCAAATAGTCAAAGCAGAAGAATGTGCCAAAGAAAAAGATTTTTTTTTCTTTGATATAGTGGCATTATTATATCTGGTTTTTGCAGCGGGTGTTTAAGAAGATATTTATCTATTTATATTTATATATAAATATAAATTGCACTGGGTGTCAAATATAGAGAAACAGTTATTGCCCAGGGTATCAAATGGTAAATTGCACATTTTACATTGCACAAGTTAATACCGTTGTAGTTGTTGATTATGATTTGGTTAAGTGACATTACTCAACCAGCTATGCAAGTACAGTTTGCTCTCAAAATATAGCTCTTGCTTCTGTTTCCAATGACCCAAGCAAGCTAAGTGATGTTTTCTGGTGTTGACACGGCTTAGGAAATCTTCAGATCGTCCTGCTTTTTTAGTTTGCTATGTGTCACACCACTCAGCCAAAGGTAATCTAGTCAGATCTTCCATCCGTTGAGTTGATGTGTAAGACTCCACTGATCTGGTTCTGTCTGTTAAAGTTACT